AATAAAAATTAATACAAGTAAAATAAAAGTACACACAGACGGGTTCGTGAACCCACCTGCAGAACTGTAAAATCCCTGGTCACTTTGCAGCTCAGCGGGATTGGGAATCACAAATCTGGATATGATCCACCCCAACCCTTGCCCCCAAAGCAGGTGTATCCCGGGCGTGCACATTCAGGGTCGTGAATCCAGCTTCATGTTCATTCTATGGAGCAGTGTTCTTCTTTGCAAGGCCCGCGGGCCACTTGCGGCCCCTGGTGGCCCCTGACAAAACACAAAAAGTGACAACACCACCCCCCCGTCGTCATCATCATTATCATTGTCGTCGTGTTGCTGTAAACCTCAACAATGGTTTCAAACGTGTGGTGGCCCTCACACTGATGATGTCTTATCAGCGAAAGTGGCACTGAAAATTAGTGAAGAACACTGCACTGTATTATACACGATACATTACGCTCCACACTACACTACACTATACACTACGCTTGACACTACACTATACACTACGCTTGACACTACACTATACACTACACTATACACTACGCTTGACACTACACTATACACTACACTATACACTACGCTTGACACTACACTATACACTACACTATACACTACGCTTGACACTACACTATACACTACACTATACACTACGCTTGACACTATACACTACGCTTGACACTACACTATACACTACACTATACACTACGCTTGACACTACACTAGACACTACGCTTGACACTACACTAGACACTACGCTTGACACTACACTATACACTACGCTTGGCACTACACTATACACTACGCTTGACACTACACTATACACTACGCTTGACACTACACTATACACTACGCTTGACACTACACTATACACTACGCTTGACACTACACTATACACTACGCTTAACACTACACTATACACTACGCTTGACACTACACTATACACTACGCTTGACACTACACTATACACTACGCTTGACACTACACTATACACTACGCTGCACACTAAACTAGTGTTCTTCATTGCAAGGCCCATGCAAACAAAAAACACAACTCTGATATATTATCAGAGTTATGTTTTTTGTTTATAACTCTGATATATTATCAGAGTTATGTTTTTTGTTTATAACTCTGATATATTATCAGAGTTATGTTTTTTGTTTGCATTATGGCTGCAGGTATTGTGGTCTATGCAAACATGACTCCTTGTAAAAAAGGTGTCAGTTTTGTTGCCAGATAGAAGGGTAAAAATCCAATTATCACCCCCCCCCCCCCCCCCATCATCTTCATCGTGCTACTGTCAAACCCCCAATGGTTTCAAATGTGTGGCGGCCCTCACACTGATGATGTCTTATCGACGAAAGTGCCCCCCCCCCCCCTCTGAAAATTACTGAAGAACACTGATATATCTTCTTGGTTCTTTCGGTAAAGTCACGTAGAAGGGAAGTAATAAAATAATAAAAATAAAACATAATAAATTAATTCTCACGACGTTTCGGCCACAACGCAAGCAGCCGTCCTCAGGTGCGCTGTGGCCGAAACGTCGTGAGAATTATTTCGTCGTGAGAATTATTTTATTATGTTTTATTTTTCTTATTTTGTTACTTCCCTTCTACGTGACTTTACCGAAAGAACCAAGAAGATGAATCCCTGCAGTCACGAAAGCTTTAAATCGAAACACTGATATAGTGGTCCGTTCATTCGATGGTAGAAACCCATTTACAATTCTCTAAATATCACATTACAGCACACATTATTATCATAATACATATTTCTTACGTTGTCATTCATTTAAATCGAATCTCAGGGCACCTGGTTCTTATCTGTCAAAAAAAAAAACGGAAACATGTCATGTTTCATTAGGGTGTACATGCGCAAGGAAGTGGCTTATCGATTTTTTTTATTACCCGTGGTCAGATAAATGGCGGGGAAGTGCTTGCGACAACCATCCTAAGAATTTTTATGAATTATAAGCGGTTGCGGTTTGGAGTGCCCTTAACAGGTGCAACATCATTATGATGATCATCCCTTCACCCGGGAATGAATGCAGCTCACCGACTATAGAATTGACCGACAGTTGCAATCGCGAAACAATCACGCGCGCGATCTCTCTCGCAAGCTTTGCGCGTTTTCGGCTCGCGACTCATTGACTGAGTATTCCGATGAACGTGCCAAATTTCGGAGGTTTTTTTTCTTAAATTACTGGGACCCTTAATAATTTGACTCCCTTTTCAAGGGTCGGGCTCACGGTTCGAGAGATGTTTTGCTCCACCCATTGTAATTAATTTAGCGGAATCCAGTGGAAGCAGTGATCGTGGGAGCCCATGACATACTTACAACGCAAATAAATTCAAAACAACCCACTCTTGCTCGGAATTCAATGCCGTGTATGATGAATGTAGCGGGGGGGATACATTGTGGTAAGTGGATACACAATATATTTCCGTACTGTACTTCTATGCTGATATCTCGCCCCGGTGGCGAGATGTTAACTACCTCGCTCGGTATACAGGAGGTCGTGGGTTCGTCCCCGACCCTGACGCCTGCTGCTGTATATTTGGCGTTCGCATGTTTCTCCCCGTGGTCGCGTAGATATTTTTTTGGGTCCTCCGGTTTTTCCCTCCACATTTAGAATCAACATCACGTGTTCAGAGCGTTTGGCTGCTATACATTTGTAGCGAGTTCGACTGAGTCGCAGACATAGCCTTGGAGGCAACACAATTATTTAACTTCAACACACGGGGTAACTGCCCCTTAACAGAATAACAACTTATGGTGGTGACCACCAGGCTAACTACACTAATTACAACGTAATTAGCTACTACGGACCGTGGCCACAGCTTGGGTCCAGATCCACGTGTTGGAGACTCGGAGAATGTAGAACATAGAGCGGAGAAGGTTTCTTCCAGGATGAACAACAACGCCGGTGCCCTCTGGGGAACCCGGCTTATATCCTCTGCGGCGTGGCTGGCTCTGCCCTTGGCCACGCCCACCTTCCAGAATCCTCGGAAAGGATCTGGATGCTAACCATGTGACCACCCCTAGCCCCCACGTAGACTTAACTGGTCACGTGTCCCCTCGGGTCAACCAGAGTGCCATGGCCTCGAGTAACCTCATTCCTACGGCCGGCACTCCCACACCCTGTCCTGTAGGGTTAGCACTGCACGCCAAGCGTGGTGGCATCTCGCGCTATCCATCAGCGCTCACCAGGCCCCTCTGGGGCCGGTACTACACCCACACCGCTGTGGTACCCGCGATGTCGCTACACCGCACGCCGTGCCTCTCTCTGACTGGCACTGCACAGTGACATCCCGTAATGTCACTACACATTTCCACATGATAATCCACTTCGTTGAGCTATCATTTGTGGCCATGCCGATATTGAAAAATAACTCTATAGCTGACCATTAGCAACCCGCACTGATCAGTGTGAAGTATGATAATTTAACCCCCCTACAACCCGCGCAGCTAAAAAGGGCCGTTCGTGTCCGTGGCGAACACTAGAATCCTCATCAATCGATGAATCGATGATGCATCGTCGTCACGTCTCCACGTGTAACACCGCCTCGTCCGACAAAAGCGCTGCATTTGCACAGAGCGAGTGCAGTCATACCACGTGGGCACAAAGTCACACCACGTGGGCAGTCACACCACGTGCGTGCACCTCACGGCGGTTGTCACCTTTGCACCCGGAGCGTTAAATCTTAACTTCTGGCTGTATGTATTGAAGAATCCCCCCCCCCACCTCCTCGATTTAAGACAGAAATAGGAGGCCTTTCTTCACGTGTCTGGCAATCGCCTGAAATTTTGGGGAAGGAAATTGCCAAAGAGAATGTATGGCAATGTTAATGACGGACCGATTTTAATGACGATGGAGAGTGATGACTATTTTGGATGGTGATAACTGTTGGGGATGATGCCTACGAGTTCAGGTTTATTTATTTTAACAAAGTGAGAAGTCAGAGTCCAGGACGAGTCTCATTTGCAAAAAGGTGACCCGGGACGCGTCTGCTCCTTCTACTCCCAACCGAGTAATTTTGTGGGTTACAGTCTTTTGTAATTTGACATTTTTTTTGACTCTCGAGAGGGTGGCACACAATGGCCTGCTCTTGCGAATGATGGCAGGGGATCTTTTAACGTCCCAACTGTTAAGTAGACGGCACGGATTGTGACGATTGTATCCCACGGTGCAATAAGCGGCGAATGCGCTCCTGCCAAGTCATGTCACTGCTCGTATATAGAAGAAGAAAAAAAAATGGTCGTTGTTGGTGGATGATGAGAATTGCCCAACATTTAACCCACTTCCGTTGCACTTTTGAGAATTGTGAAAGTTTCCATTTTACACTCATCAGAGACATGTTAGCATGAGTACTATGGGAGAATGGTAGTACAAGGGTTAGTGCACTGTGCTGCAAACTTGGTACTGGTAGGAACCTCCTGGTTACACCAGCCCACAGGGGATTACTGTGTACCTCCGTCGTGCAGGGAGGGGCTGGGTGGGGAGGGGCTGGTCACCACGTGGTGCCCTTATAAAACTCAACGTTTAACCTACTCATGCCGGCTTGTGCCCGCCCTCACAGTCGGGCATATTTGCGGAATACACCACGCCGCCGTTGACCCTGGCCATTGACCGAGCAACCCAACGTTCCTACCAGCTCCCTCCGCGGGAATGTTTAATGGCTGATTGGCAAGTGATATCTCAACTGGGCCTGGGTTTCCCCCTTCACCAACCTATACTAACCAGCATGGTGATGAATGGTCAAACAGCCTCCATCATAACTAACACAGCATGGGTATGTACAGTTAAACAACCTCCATTATAACATGGCATGGTGATGTACAGCCAAACGACCTCCGTAATAACTAACGCAGCATGGGCATGTCTTCATCTCAGCTGTGGATTACAAAAGGGCTATAGGTTATTATATTTATTCTAAGTCATTACACGGACAACATAAAAAAAGACTCGTTTGGAGAAAGTAAATGTTGCTGTACATCCGAATTCGAGAAATCTTCCAAGGCACGCAATTCAAGGAGTACTCTTTCAAATTTAAAACCGTAATGCCATCACATGGTTTGAATATTGACCAAAAAAAGCCATTTGTAAGCACAGAAGCTGCATCCCACAGAGCAATAACTTCAATACAACCACATTACATTGACCATTACGTTTCTCATCCATCACCGAGCCTATCTGTGAATCCCCAGATATCCGCGGATGAAAACAGGAAGAATCAAACGTAGACTGCATCCCTTGGACGATGTGCGGCCTTGCAGATAAGAGTGATGATGGATAAGAGTGATGATGTATGAGAGTTGCGGTTCACAAGTCACAAGCATCAGAACATCGGAGGTCCAATTTCTGATTAAATTTGGACCTCTCAAATGATCCGATGATAACCGGCCAAGCAGTTTGAGAGATGTCGGATACAAAATAAAGTCCTAATCACCTTCGACTTTATTCATTCAAGTAATGCACACGCATGTAACGCACAGTAAACAAGAAAATAGGCATACAGAAAGCAATGCAATGCACTTAAAATTGGAACATTTAACACATAAACAGGACAATATTTGGTGATCCCTGTACAACAGATGATATGATTACATACTCTTTATTTTACCCGGTAAAGCCAACTGAGCTATACAGCTATTTTTCTGAAGCGACCTAGCCACAAATGATAGCCCAAACAAGTGGCTCATCATGTGAAAATGTATAGTAGCTAAGTACTCGAAACGCATGTTGATTGTAAATGTGGAGGGAAAACCCGGAGGACCAGGAGAAAATACCACACGACCACGGGGAGAGACATGCAAACGCTAAATATGCAGGGGGCGTCAGGGTCAAGATTGAACCCACGACCTCCTGCATACCAGGCGAGGTAGTTAACATCTCGCCACCACCGCGCCCCTACACGCCAGGCAGCTCAGATTTTGAACAAGTAAACCCGTAAAAACAAAGTTTTTCACTCTAAATCCTTTATATGCGTGGCGGCTAGAGTTCTCTCGTCCTCTGGCTTGAGATGGCTGCAATCTATGGGTCAGATGATTGTCTGCCAGTATTAAGCAATTGGTAATTAAATATTTAATTTGTTTTCCCTAAACAGTGTAAAATTTTGGGAAAAAAAATTCACGAAAATTAATTGTCACGCACAACGAGTCTGTGTGGAAAATGTCAGCTCGAATGGATCACGGGAAGTGGGTTAAAAAACGAGCGAAAGATTTGCACGGTCCTAAGCAAGCAAGCGAACTTAATATAAAGGATTTAAAAATGGCAAACCTCACCCTGGGCTTTCCAATGTGTAAAATGCATGTGGCATCTGAAGAGAACCCATCTACCCTAGGACCGGTGCCTTAAACACCATCTCCCACGTCCAGTCGTGGATGAAACCACTTTCCTGTGGTACCTGAAATTGGAAACCAGCAATTGGAAACCCAAGGTGGAGCTGTTGCGATACTATGACCTCCCCCCCCCCCCCCAGCTAAAACACAGTCGTTTGTACAGCTTAAGTGCAACAGACTTTTTGGAAATGGACACCACGCGCACCAGTGTACACGAAAACATTACAATTCAAATGCATGTGTGAAAAACGTTAAAAAAATACTTTGCAATATGCATTCCTTATAAAACTTACGTTGAAGCATTTCCTGAACAAAATGTACAACATCTAGTGGGTGCACGCTGTCAGTCCGCATGTGGAATGAGTACTGTATCGCTACGTCCCGAGCTCACAGAATTAAGAGGGTGGTATGGCCATGTGACCATTGCACTCGGCTATATTATACATTCAGTAGAGGGCATTTTTTTTAATGCCTAGGCATTTCCTCTTGCACAACTGTACAATAGTGGGTACAACAGAAGGCGCGTGTGGGTGTGGAATGCGTGCAAGCAATGTCCCAGGCTGAGTGTGTGTTTAAGATGGGTGGCCTGGCTCGTGGAAACCACGATACACATTAAATATTATTCCATCATTTTTAAGGGACATTCCAAGTGTTGTAACTAACGTCTGGATAACACTTACCCACACCGCACTCAAATTGTAGGTCTTTGTGTTGACTGTGCCGTGGTAAAGTGCGTTGGGGAAAAGTACGGAAAAAATATTTTTCCCCGGTAAAGAGAGAACGGATGCTTTGTAAACAAGGTGGAAAAAAAAAGGACACTTGTGGATTACTATAATCGAGAGTATTTCACCGTGTAAATCCCCAGGCACAAGGCTTTTAAAGGGCAACATATCTTCCTGCTGAATCTAACACTGTGCGATGCTCATTCTTGTGCCGAGTCAGTGGTGGAAATGTCCTTATCCTGTGGTGAGGGCCAGTCTATTCAATGTATATAACAATTCAGGCTAAACAGATAAAAACAAACACTCAGGCATGGGCAGTATCGTCGTGGCTAAACAACAGATATCAGAACAAATGTACAGCACAGTGGCTTTTGCTGTACTGCCCTCTGGTGTCAAGCACACATCACAGCCCCTTGTAGCCGCTTATGAATAACCTATTCGATGCACCGTGGTTCACCAATCGGAAGCACTATCCAGGCTCAACACTGCTGAGCTTCCAAGATCTGGCGATATTTAACGCACCAATGACAGACTATAATGGCGCTTATAACCTCTTGAGTCTGCAGAATGAATTTGTGGCAAAGACAATCGTGGGACGCGATTCCCCAGCGGTCGACTGCAGCCTGCAACCAAGGACAAGTCGGGTAGAGCCGGTATAATCGTAACACTAATATCCAGAAAATGTGCGCAATATATTTCGTGTAATTGTGAAAATTAGCACCACCAGCTTTTCCGAAGCCCGATTTCACGTCACAGCATTTTAAGGCCAAGGTTCAACGTGCCTGCAGGATACGGCAGCACGTAATTTTGCATCTTTTGTACGAATGCGGAGGAATGTTCTCGTTTAGCTGTACAGCTCTCCCGATGTTTTGTGGGTTGTACCGCACGGTGGAAGAGGAAAGTTTGGACATTTACGCAGAAGACGTAGGGGAGGACGACACATTTTTTTGTAATTGCAGTGTTTTTATCTTCTAGTTAATGCTGCAGCACTGGAGAGAGAATGGCTACATTTTGGTCACAAATATGGACATGAATTGTGCGTAGTATTTTCCTTGTAGCCTTGCATAGAAGCAAAATGTATTTGATTCGTGGAAAAATCTATGTTTAACTGAACACATTTTTTTAATAAACCAATGTAAATTGTTTACAAGCTATCGGCATTAATATCCGAAACAGTAAACAGAGATGATGTGCATATCATAAAAAATAAACATGAGTGACATTTCAGCATGGCAAAATATCCCATTTGCAAGGTCATGAATTCAAATGCATATCAGGGGTTAACAAAGTCCATTATATCTGAGGGGTTGTTTAAAAAATATATGAAACACTTTGCAGGAAACCAGCAGGAATGATCTTACGGGGAAAAAAATGACCATGACAAAAAAAATCGGCCTCGGAACTTCCAATTACACTGGTCAAAAAAAAAAAACATTTTTTCTGGCCTGGACTTTTGCAGCTGATTTAGACTAATTTCAGGGTGCTGATTCCAAATCTGATTTGCTCTATCACATCTCATTTTATGCTATCGGCATACCCCATTTTCATTGATTTTACCCGAAATTAACTCTGTCACTTATGATTGCAAGTTGTTGCGAGTCAGTGACTGCTTTAGTGTTAAAATATGGTGCTGTATTTTTAGGAAAGTGTTTATAATATCATTTTATGTAGATATACACATTTATTTAATACTTTTCTTCTGCAGTTGTTATTGAAAATGCAATATTTGATATCTCAAAAACCTGATGTGATAGACAAAAATTGATGCCAGATTTTGATTCAGCACTCCAAAATTACCTTAAAACCGTTGGAATACCTTATGCCAGAAAAAGTGTGTTGACCAGTGTTATTAACCACGAACTCGGGACCACCAAGGGAGGTGAGGTCAGAACAACTTAAGTGTGAGGACGCCGTTGACTTTTGTTACCGAACAAAGAACTGATGGCGTAGGGCATCCACAGCGTTTATCCGCGTGTGTGGGTTCGGGTCTAAGAGTTTGTAGAGCAGATCAAACGCCAAGACATCGTTGCAGCGCCAATCCCTCCCGGGGGCAGCTTCTGGCCCACCTCGACCCGAAGACGCGTCTCTTGCGTCGGAAGGCGGCGTGCGACGAGCGGGACATCGACTGGCGTCAATGCCGCCGTCTGTGCCGTCAGTCCCAGCAGTGGGAGAAGTTTCCACGTGGGCGTCTGTTTTTCTTCGTTTTTCCGCAGGGGTCTTTGCTTGGTCTGCATCAGGCACAGCTAGACAAAACAACAAAGACAAAAGTGACAAAACACGCGCGCGCGCACACACAGTCGAAATAATCGGCGAAGTTTAGTCGTTCAGACTCTTCCACCACTTTTAACTCCTGCTGGCGCTAACACACATTTTGGGACCCAAACACCTTTTTTTAAATTTCGATTTAAAGCTTTCGTGGCTGCAGGGATTCATCTTTTTGGTTCTTTCGGTAAAGTCACGTAGAAGGGAAATAATAAAAATAAAACATTATAATTATGTTTTATTTTTATTATTTTATTATGTTTTATTTTTATTATTTTATTCTTTCCCTTCTACGTGACTTTACCGAAAGAACCAAGAAGATAACCTTTTTTTAGCTTCGTTGCAAGAATACCACAAGCAGCAATGGTATAATAGAAAAAAAACTCTCCTTCGGTGGCTATGGCAACAACCACCGACATGCACACGGGAGCAGCAAGTGTGTGACCTACACTTTCTAACATTTATGATTACAAAAAAGTGCAACTGGTAATGCACTACCAACCAACATTACTGCCATTGTATGTACACGTTGAACTTCTTTGGCACCGTACGTGCCCTACCCTAGATTTGAAGCTTTTGTGACTGCAAGGATTCATATTCTTGGGTTTTTTCGGTAAAGTCACGTAGGTGAAAAAATTTAATTAAAATTAATAAAAGTCAAATAAAAATAAAATAAAAATCACGACGTTTCGGAGGCAACACAAGCTTCCGTCTTCAGGTGGAACCGTCACAGCACGATAGCTGTATCAAGTAAAAAAAAAAAAAGCTTGTGTTGCCTCCGAAACGTCGTGATTTTTATTTTATTTTTATTTTACTTTAATTAATTTTTATTTACATTTTTTACCTACGTGACTTTACCGAAAAAACCCAAGAATATGTGCCCTACCCTGCTAATCGGAAGTGCGGGTAACCAGAATGTGGTTTGTCGTCAGTTATATTATCACAAGTGGAAATTATAATTGCAAATCAAGTGATGCATTTCAACTGCAGAATCACTACCAATCATAAAAACATGCAACCATTATATATGCGAACAGATATATCGAATAATATATTAATTGTTAATCTCACAACGTGAATACAATTTCACGTGTCATAATTGATGCTTTGCACTACTTAAACGCTGCATGTAAATGGGTTTGTATGACCCATTCAAGCTAGAAGAGGCGATACCATTGACTGCCATTGAAAAACAAGAATCAATACTGCGAAATGAATAGCAACTGTGAAACGCGATATTTCATTGGATCAAAGGGAGTGAGGGGAGGGAGGGGAGGGAAGGAGGGAGGGGAGGGAGGGAGGGGAGGGGAGGGGAGGGAGAAGAGGGGAGGGGAGGGGAGGGAGGTCAGGCAGGTGCCTTCGCCGCTATGGTGCTGGTAGCGCAGCAGCAGGGGATCTGGTGATGGGTTTTTGAGGGCGATTTGTTTTCTTGTTGGTGTCTATGAACGCAGTAACACACAATGGGACTAATGTTACACGGGAAACCCGCGTTATATCTTTGATTAAAAAAGGGAGCCCATAAGCAAACAAAAAAATACAAAAAAAACGACATGATGAACGAAGTAAAGTGCCGAAAGACCGAGCATCTTTCTCGTCTGATCGTTATAAAAAAATAAATTTTAAAAAAAGGAGGGAGGGAGGGAGGGAGGGAGGGGAGGGTGGCGTGAATCCTTTACACTGCTAGTAATCATCATACACACAAATCCTATTATCTCCACAGCCTGGGGGGGATTTGCAATGATGTCCGTTGCCGTGCGGGGCATGGTGGGGACCTTAATGCAGCTCTTTAGACGCGACTTGGATGGATCAGACAGAGTTAGTCATGCGTAAGGAACAATCAACCTTCTGGCTTACGAAGTGGCCTGTAGATGTGTGTACAGCGCTTTTTGTCATTGCCTTGCAGGATTAGAGGCCTTCCCAAGCTGTGTGGTGTGGGTCATGGAGGTTATTTTACTGGCCTGTAGTTTGTAGGAAAATACATTCTGGATTGCTGTTATATATCAAGATTTTAGTGTTACCCCGCCTCCCCCCCCCCCCCCCCCGAACGTACACAGGTTTTGTCTGCGTCCTCAATATTTTCCAACATAAAACTAATAACAAAGCGGCTGAACATAGCAATTGCATGTTCCTGCTGTAAAGATCTTGAGACTAAGAGACGTTTGACCGGAGTAGAATGTGCTTTATCTGGGTCAATGTCAACCAATGCCAGTCTAACGAGCATGCTGATTCACGTTTCGTCAGGTTTGCTTCAAGGAGTATTGCCGCGCCGTTCCCGCACTGCACACAAGTGCTTTTGCTGCACTTTCATCGTGTCATCAACTCATCCCATTGTCTCCCCAGTGTCAAAAATTGGGGCCCAACGGTGGCAAGATGTTAACTACCTTGCCTGGTATACAGGAAGTCATGAGTTCGATCCTGACCCTGACACCTGCTGTATATTTGTAGTTTGCGTGTTATTCCCGTGGTCACCTGGATTTTTCTCCGGCTACTCCAGTTTTTCCATCGACATATAGAATCAACATGCGTTTAGAGTATTTGGCTACTATAAATGTCAACATGATAAGCCACTTGATTGGGCTATCATTTGTGGCTCGGTCGCTTCTGAAAAAGACTTTTAAAAAATCGGACCACGTTTTGACAACAGTGCTTGCCATCAGAATGTGGAATTTCCACAACATTGAGGGCCACCAATTTAAAAAAAAGTGTCACACCACTGCTTTAAAAAAAATGAAATTATTACTCGAGATAACTGGAATTTTCACTCGTTTCAGAGATGTGAAAGGTACGTGTGTAATTCGTATAACGTGCAATTCTAGGCTAATGTACATACCTTTTACAGAGGCGTCACCTCTCAGGCATTCACAAAGCTCTTTTAAATCAGTACTTCTGCAGTGACGACTACAGATCATCATCTTTCCTGTAATAAATAAATATTTGTGAATGTTATAATATATCAGACAACAGTCTCTTACATTTGAAACTGATACATAGAATCATTCATATATATAAAACAAAAATGCACGGTAATTTTCCCCATTAGATTAACATCACATGCTGTCTCGTGTGCAAGACAGTATGGTGGAATAATTGACCTTATCACAGGGAAGGGTATCGAAATAATGTTGCACGTAATTTAAATGTAATTACTCAAGATTTCAGAATAAAATCACAATCAAGTTATCATGAGACCAATAATTGCCATTGCTTCATTCCCTCTGCCACATTTAGAAATTTCCATCTCCTCTGGACTACCCTTACGATATCCGACCACCTGCCCCTACGTCCCAGGTCTCTGGGTGCCCATGACAATGCCTGTTGAGATAATCTTCCATCGTCCATTTCGGCACAAGGACCCCAATGAATCACAATCTACTCTTCCTGATTTAAGCCTACAAATGCCTTTCTGCCACTTTGTTTTCAAAATGACCATGCTACTTAAATCGTCATGCCATCAAAGTCTTCGCATCTTCCATATGCACCTACGATCAAGAGGCCGGATGATGTTACTCCTCGTTGATTGTTAAAGTCCATTGTTCTCAACCCCTATAATAAATATAGCACGGATGTTCCTGCTGCCTTAAGCACTCATTTTTTTCAACAACACAAATGACCTTACATTTCTTGCAAAGTGTTTTATGCATTACATTAAAAACACATTTTTGAAATGTAACTTTTCATCCTCCAGAATTATGCACGTGACTGTATAAAACAAAAAAAAACATTGTCCCCTTCCTCCTGAAAACTGACAAACGCTTCAGATGCTCATCCCCGACTGCTGACATGAGGTTTTGTGGAAAATGTACCTGAAGGCACTACACATTGCTGCTATCCAATTCACGGCTGCGAAACAAACCACCAAGCGATCACAATCTGTGTGTAATAGACGTGCACTCGCTCGTAACAATCTTGTTACAATACCACTCCTCATTTCGTCGCTCGCCTCTGTGGTCCGTCATACCCGAATAAAGTTGGAATATAAACATTGCTCAAGGCTGTGGAAACTTAACATCCAACGCAATAAACATTTCTACAGTTACAATTATTTATGTAATGGAATGTGTAATTGCTTCATGCAATTGCTCCTGCATCCTGGAACACTTGTGTGTGCATAGGTACATAAGGGTGGACTGGTCACTGAACAGCGAGTAACATTTGCATCTTGATGCGACCGACTCATCGATAATCAACTATATCATCTTCTTTTTGTCGTACGGCTGATGCAGAGCAACAACTGTAATGTCACATGCAGGTGGGTCAAGCCAGACAACCGCGTCAGGAGCACCGGAGCGTATCATCGCTGTAATGTCTCCTTAATATTTGTGGATCAGGCACTGCGTCGTCGCTATATGTTGTAGGGTCTGTTCTTTCTGAGATACTTATATGTGAACAATGGTTGTAAAGTAAACACACATGAAGATAAGCTCCAATAGGATTGTGTACATTTCATAAAAAATTCAGTTGAAAAAATTAAAAAAATCAGCAGCTTCTGATTTTTTTAATTGTTCGGTTGCTTGTTTGATTGATGTTAAGCGTTCATAAATTCAAAAATACCCGAGTGCCATATTATTGTTCGCCTTTCGGCGTTCTCTGGTCTGACAATGGTGAGACTAGGCCCTAAAGAAGGCTGTCTCTGGTGTAGGCCAATCAGTTTCAAAGACAATGCCCATATATTATAAGAACATGCTTGTTTGCATGTTCACCACAAGTAGCGTGTGGTTAATGCAGACTTGATTCCTTGCAAAAGGTTTCTATTTGGTGTTTGAACATCTTAACACCTCCTGTTTTATCGCCAGAAAGGTTCAAACCTATTTTTTCTCACACATTTATTTTTTGTATAATGCGTGGGTTACCATATGTGCGTGGGTTACCATATGTACATGCCCCATTTGTCAATCCAGCATGACGGATGTTATGTGAATCACACATCCACACTTTTCAGCGCGGGTTTGTGAAGGCAGGGAATACAGACACGGGAGCAAAGAAGTACATAAACCAACCCAAATATTTGCAAATGCAGTGTCAAGTCATCATGTGCTGCTTATTTCAATAAGACATTTATAAAATGTGCATTTAAAGAAACATCCACTAGCAATATTTATTGTGACCTTTTTTTTTAATGGGCAACAAGGCTGCCTGCAGCACACAAGTTACCCACCCAACAATCCGTTTGTCCATCTCGAGGAGAAAAATAAATATCTGTGGCAAGATAAGTGTTCATGTCTTCAACATGGGCACTTATCCTGTTGGAAATTCCGCATTCCTATAGTCGTGCCATACCTAATGATTGCTCATTTCCCATAAATAAGGGCTATGGCGATGCTGGTGCAGGGCAGAAGGAGTAGAGGGAGACTGAGGGTAAGATGAAAGGATGAGGTGGAATGAGACATGAGAATTGTGGATGAGACTCGAAACGATGGACACAATTTGAAGTACATGGAGAAATAAAATAAAAGGAGTTGAACCTCAGGCAGAAATGGGATATTGTGCTTAAATATCTTGCCGCGGTGGTCAGATGTTAATTCTCTCGCCTGGTATATACAGGAGGTCGTGAGTTCAATCCCAACCCTGACACCTGCATATTTGGAGTTTGCATGTTCTTCCCATGATCACGTGGATTTTTCTCCGGGTCCTCCAGTTTCTCCCTCACACATTTAGTAATCAACATGCGTTTAGAGTAATTGCCTGCTGTACATTTCCACGTGATAAAGCCACTTCGTTGAGCTATCATTTGCGTGGCGTAGGTCGCTTCTAAAAAAAGAGCTATATAGCTCAGTGTGGCCTGACCTGATAAAAATAAAAAAATGTCAATAGTTTGTATTACTAACCGCAAGCTTTAGCAGCAGCAGCCACCTCTGCGCTTCCACGCAACGCGATGATTTGAGCCAGCGCAGTGAGGTCGTCGCTGGTCTTGAAGAAGGGGTAGCGGCCACTCAGGAGGCAGAGGAATATAATGCCCGTCGACCAAATGTCAATGGCTGCGATCTCACACACGACAGTGTTTAAGGTCACAAACACACTGGGGAGGAGAAAAAAAGCAACTCTTGCTCGGTATCAGTCCCGAGGGGTTTACCCTTGGCTTGACATTGCATATAAAGTACGACGACTATCGGGGGAGCCACTTCAAATATCAAGTGGCAGTAGCGTGGCCCCAGCCAAGTGATAGCAGAATAAAGGCGGCGGCGAACACCGCCGTGAATATGAGCACAGAATCAAAAATAATTTGACCAAAGCTTAGATATTGACATAGCCGTTATAAGTGCTGGTAATATTCTTACGTTGTTGATAATATGGAGACACTCCAATAGCACATACAATAGTGCAATTTTATATTTGCCACAGATAATGAACAATAATGCGGCAATATGTGGAACCATTGTTTGGTCCTGTTGAATAAACAAACGTATGGTATGTACATGTTATTCTGACAAATAACCATGTGCAGGTTAACATTAACTTGACATTGTAACAGTTTTGAATACTGGAAGAACGTGTATATAGTGTGATCTTGTATTTGCATATCAACAGTTTACATGCTCAATAATATTTTATACAGATGCGAGTTATGCTGGGATACCGCCACTGGAGGGCAGTATGAGCTATTGCTGCTGGCATCTGATATCCAAAGGTCATAAGAAAAATAAAATTGTTCTACAAGGGCTGGAAAGGTGACATTTGGCACATTTACAGAGAGAAAACAAATGAAAACCAACATTTGTTTTGGAACCCTCGAAAATTGAGAGCTAAGAATCATAACTTTTACACCTTTGTTGAATTTCTCTTATGTGGCAGAACAGTAGTCAAAAATATAATTCACGCATCACCTGCAATAAATACCGAGCATTAACCGATTGATGCTATGGTCAAATATGTGGCACCTGTGGTTTGATAGGGCCACTTTAGTAGAACCTCTGGGGCTCGGAACCCAGGCGTACCAGCCCGCGGAGATGGCTGTGGGATTCTGAAAACAAAACATACATCCTATCAGGGTGGCTCGCAATAACCGAACATTTTTGAGTGGGTTAAAATTAGCACGTTCAACATCTAATGAAAGAGGCATCACTAGAACGAAGATGGACCATACATAGGTTGAACATAAAACTAACTAAATTATTTGTATTTTACCATGTAAGGGCAAATGAGCTATATGGCTCTTTTTCAGAAGCTACCTGGCCAATAATCATAGCCCACTGAAGCAGCTTATCACGTGGAAATGTATTACATCCAAATACTCGAAACGCACGTTGATTCTAAATGCGGAGGGAAAAACCGGATGACCCAGAGAAAAATAAACGTGACCACGGGGAGAACATGAAAACTCCAAATATACAGCAGACGTCAAGGTCGGGATCGAACCCACGACCTCCTCCATACCAGGCGAGGTAGTTAACATCTCGCCACCGTGGAAGCTCCCAGCCAAAAATAACAACATTAAGTCATTCAACATTTTCCCAGTGATTCACATTAATTTGTATACTTTATCACCGTGCACTTAGAACTAGCCATAGAATGGCAGTGGCTTACGTTGACAAACCCTATGATAGGTATCTCCAATTGTTTGTCGATCCTGTTGTGCATGACCATTGTTTTGCTCATATTTATCCCGAGCCCAACTTAACGGCCTTGTTACGTTCTTCGAAATGTCAAAGAAAACCTCAGTTCCCCCTTTGCAGTCCATTCCCCACGGGAAGTAAAAATGACAAATATTAGATGCATCTTCTTGGTTCTTTCGGTAAAGTCACGTAGAAGGAAAATAATAAAATAATAAAAAAACATAATAAAATACAATGAGGACGGCTGCTTGCGTTGTGGCCGAAATGTCGTGAGAATTGTATTTTGTTTTATTTTTATTATTTCCCTTCTACGTGACTTTACCGAAAGAACCAAAAAGATGAATCCCTGCAGTCACGAAAGCTTTAAATCGAAAATATTAGATGGTTGTAGTTTTCTCCATTAATCTCTGCCTCCGTTTCTACAATGTAACATTTCAGAAAATATATTCTGTTGCTGTGAATAACCTTGGTTAAAGAATATAAACAATGGGTTTTTTATCGATTCAATTAATATTGATAAATCAAAAAGGACGAGTGTTATTTCCCACCGATATGTCTGGAAAAAAAATCTAAATCGCCACTATTTTCTTCCAGAAGGGTGCTTCCTGTCAACACATGAATCCTGCGTTTGAATTCTGAAATGGGCTCTCATCTGACTTCAAGTAAACCTTAACGCCTTTTTACTAATTTCCCTCGTTTAATTGTAACACGGCGCAGTGATAAAACATAGTACGGACTAAATCTTGACTTAAAGCTTTCGTGACTGCAGGAATTCATATTCTTTGGGTCTTTCGGTAAAGCCACGTAGATAGAAAAAATAATACAAATATCACGACGTTTCGATCGCAACACAAGCAATCGTCATCAGGTGAAAAAATAGCGAGAGAGCTGCTGAGGCAAGATGTTATAAAGTTTTGAGATGGGTGTAGCCCAAGGGTCATAAGCAAAGTGGGTGGGGAGAGCGAAGAAATTTGCATATAAATGTAAGATCGGAGTGCTGAGCTACCTCCACTACGACGAAGCTGTCGGAGGTGGCCATTGTATTGTGAGAGATTAGCATGTCAATGTAAGATCGTAGATCCACTGCCACATCAAGGAAAACGAGCAACGGTGGCTGTTTCGATTTAAAGCTTTCGTGACTGCAGGGATTCATCTTCTTGGTTCTTTCGGTAAAGTCACGTAGAGTGGAAATAATAAAATAATAAAAATAAAACATAATAAAACAATTCTCACGACGTTTCGGCCACAACGCAAGCAGCCGTCCTCAGCTGAAGAACAGGTCTGAAACGTCGCGAGAATTAGTTTATTATTTAATGTTTTATTTTAATTATTTTATTATTTCCATTCTACGTGACTTTACCGAAAGAACCAAGAAGATGAACGGTGGCTGTGTTAGTGAGACATTTAACCTGTTAATTTAAAGACATTTAACCAGTTAATGTAACACCAGAGAGTCGAAATAACTACTAAACATCACAGCCAGTTATGACTTAACCTAGTTAAGAACCTCCTTCCAATGATTGCTCAGTTTGTTCCCATCTTCTCGGTTGAAATTGTGTCCGTGTTTATATATCTGGATGGCTTCATGAACGAAATTGAGCAATCATTGGAAGGACGTTATTAACCAGGTTAAGGCATAACTGGCTGTGATGTTTGGTAGTTATTTTCGATTCTCTGGTGTTACATTAACCGTTGCTCGTTTTCCTTGATGTGGTGGTGGATCTACGATCTTACATTGACATGCTAATCTCTCACAATACAATGGCCACCTCCGACAGCTTCGTCGTAGTGGAGGTAGCTCAGCATTCCGATCTTACATTTATATGCAAATTTCTTCACTCTCCCCACCCACTTTGCTTATGACCCTTGGGCTACACCCATCTCAAAACTTTATAACATCTTGCCTCAGCAGCTCTCTAGCTATTTTTTCACCTGATGACGATTGCCTGTGTTGCGATCGAAACGTCGTGATATTTGTATTATTTTTTTCTATCTACGTGTCAATACAAATGACGAAAATTATTTTGGACAAATTATTGATTCTCACCGGGGACTGAAATAACTTAAGATTAAGATAATATAATAGACTGCTGTACTAGGCAGCCAGAGACTGGAATATGGGTACCATTCTGGAAACTCCACAGCACACACACACGCACAATAATCGAAGAGCATACCTGGCCAAGCAGAGCTTGCAGACCTGATCATACCCGAAACAGGAGCAAGTCTTTTCTTGCAACGCAAATCGAGGCATGGCAATGGGGAGAGCCACAGCCTTTTGGCCGTCATCGCAGCTACGTGTGGAGCGCCATTCGTTAACTTACTTGCTTTGCACTAAACAAGCATGCAAAAAAATATGAAAGCAATTATTCACCTATCAGACAAATTAATGTGGCTCATTGTTAATAAAGATTGCAACCTTTTTCTATCCAGACCATGTAGGTATGTATGTTGAACTTCTTTCGCACCGTACGTAGCCAACCGTGCTAATCGGAGGTGCGGGGGAAAGGACAACAAACTAAACACAAAAAGCATTTCTAAAGAAATGACTTCTCAATCTAGATTTACAAGTGTATAGCTCCAGTGGCTTCCTAATATAGGAAGCAAAAGCATTCCAGATGGCCGCAAAAGTGCATCTGAAAACGCGCGATGCAGTGACCGTCTTTGTTCAATGCCTAGCCAAACGCTGCTGCAGGAATGACCGGAGTTCACATGATGGTTTATGCTCCTTGTCGAGATCAGCAAGGTATTGTGGTTCAATACCATAGCGCCAAAGCAAAGCAATTGTGCTTTTGGCATCATGTCATGAGATGAAAAATCCATTGGTTTAATCACAAACGCCCAAATACAATTCCAGGATCTCAGAGGGGCTAACTCGGTGCCCTGACCTCCGACCCACCCAGCCACCTCAACAGACACCTTATTATCGCCTGTGTTGAGGAGTAGAGTGATGACGGGATGTCACACTCGCCTCAGGAGGAGTGACGTCATGTCCCCTCGGGGTATTTGAGGGGGGACCGGTGACGTAGACGGGGTCTTCGTCGGGAGCCAGGGGAGCGAGTGGTAGGGGAGTAGGGACCCCGGGTAAAAGGGGAATTAGCGCCAGGCTAGAGGGCTACTTTACCCGGCTGGCTGAGTTGGCTGAACCCTCGGCCAGTGCTGAGGGAAGAGCCCGATAGCCTGGTAGGGTGTAGGGAACTCCCAGTACCCTTCCCTTGGGGAGATTAGTTAGTACCAAGTTGTGTTAACCCTTTCCCATGAGTTAGGCGTGAGCCCCTAATAAACAGTTCGGCGTTAGCCCCTATACAACTCGCTTACGCGTCGTTCTTACTACACAACACCTGTATTGAAAAATGAACTCTTGCAAGATTGCAGTACTTGCAAGCCCCAAAAATGTGGCATCAATTACTTTAAAACTGGGGATTCAGACAATACACGTTCATGTTGATGTATGGTAATTAATAGTTTTTCATTGTAATGTTGCTGTTGTTCATGAAAACCACATTTAACAATGGAACAGTAGTCAGTGCACCACGTTACAAAAGCCTATATATTATGCATTCAAGTCTCAGCCATAGATAACACCAGTGGTTCGTGGTCGCCATACCAATTGTGGGTCTCCCATAGGTTGGCCCAGGCTTAAATGAGTACCTGGTGCATTGTGTAAACATCATCACTTTGAAGACCAAGGAAAACCATGCATGGTGGTGGCCCCACAAACCTCCCAAGGTGTGCTGTGCGGGCCTTAATGAATACCCGCTCGTTGTATTTATCCCTACAGTATATAAAGAAGCTACAGGGAGGATATTTCTATGTTTATAACGTGTGTCTAACAACATGCGTGGGGTAGGGTATGTCCCGTGGCTACTATAGATAGTACATGTTTTGATTTGCTGTGCTCTGTGACACAAGTGCAGTACCTGTCAACCCATACGGTTTACCCGATATTCTTGTACAGGAAAACTGAGTAAGAAAATCATTTTTTTTGTGTTTCTCCCTTGTGATGGGACTTTGTAGAATGAACATTGATATTTATAAGGGCATGGAGTGACCAATAAGGTCTGAATTTGTCTGTGATAAGGTAGGCAGCACTGATAAGGGGTTGACAGGTATGCAAGTGCAACATTGAGACAGAGACGAAAAGGCTTCCCTGAAATGAATGTACTCCTGCATCTTCCCTTAATACTTACCTCTCCCCGTCGGCAAATGGCTCACTTTTCCCAATGGACTGTTGTCACATGGCTGTAAATAAACTTGGGCACTCGTTGAAAGTAAACCTCTCAGCTGGAGTTGACGGTCGGAACCTCCCATCTACGCGTAGTTATGCTAACCTCCTCGTTGTAGTTCACCGATGACTTCATCAGCTGAGCACTCTTGCCCTGCTTCTGCATGGTGGTGGTGGTGGTGATGTTGATGTTGTTGGCTTTAGCGAGCCGTGCGCCGGCCCTCTTCTGGTAAATGCTTCCGCTCAGACCAACGGTCTCCTGCAGCCTCCGCAGCAACGGGATGCAAGTATCCGGCGTTCCTTGCGCCAGTCCAAAGTCGACTAGCGCATACCTAAGGTAGCCAAACAATCATACCAATGATCAAACAACAAGCTGAAGTAGGCTAGCTCTGTATACTTTTTAACGGTCTTAAGTTTTTTTGACTAGCTTCGACTCTTCATTCAGACTGACAGAGATGAGATATTGCCACTCGAAATGTATTTCTACAGAACGATACTGCACCTAAGTCGGACACAAAGAGTGACCAATATAGAAGTAAGAAAAAGATTGCACATAGAAGAAGGCCTGATGCAGGTAGTGACGAGAAGGAAACCTGGCACTAAGTTGAACACATATGTAGAATGGACAACAACACCAAAATTAAAAGTGTGTTCTTCGGGAAAAATGGTAGGAACTGGAAAGAGAGTAAGACCCAACAGAGAATGGCTTGATGACGACATTAGAGATTGGTGCCAGAAGAAAGATGTTGCATGACTTGAGCATATTGGCACAAGACAGAGGAAAGTGAAAACAAATGTTCTAGATTTGAAGCTTTCGTGACTGTAAGGATTCATACTCTTTGTTTTTTTCGGTAAAGTCACGTAGGTAAAGCAATTAATAAAATAAAATAAATGAAACAACTAAATTAAATCACGACGTTTCGGAGGCAACACAAGCCTCCCTCATAGCTACAGTTATTTTGCTGTGCCTTTTTACACCTGAAAGAAGTGAAATTTGGCCACATACCGTTGTTGTTTTCTGCAGTACAGGAAGTTGCTGGGCTTGACATCGCGATGAATAATGCCAAGCTTGTGTATGCGCACCAGTGAGACCAGGAGGTTTCTCATGTACTCCCGCACCTCCATCACATCCATCACAGAAACGACCTCCTGTGGAAATGGGAGAGGGACGTTAACAAAGGAGAGTAGTGAGAAAACTTGGGCAATAAACAATTAAGAACACCCATTGAGATCTGGCCAGGTCGTGGATCAGTAGCGGGCGATTCAATCTCAACCCTGACTGAGGTCAATTTTGACGATCATTCCTCCAGGGATGACAGTACGAGTGGCACTTTTGGTATTCTCCTTATCAAACTGATGATGATAATCCGCCACTTCGTTGAGGGAAAGGATGCCGGGACGGAAGTCTCCAAGAGTGAACGAAGAGGGCACGGCTCAAGATGAGCAGCAGGGAGAAGAAAGAAGGAGCGCTGCATAGGAGGGGAGAAATTATTTTTACAATTTATTTCATCAGGTACCCGTTTGCGACCCTGGTGCGGCCGGGTACAGGTACGGGTAGCCGCACGTGACTCACCCCAACCAATGAGTGAGAAGGCCGTGAGTCACTGGTGAATAACCGTTTGTCACTCATTTCCCAACGTCTTGTCTCTTCTCACAATTCAAGTTCCTAGAATAAACCCACCCGCGACTGCAACATGGCTCCATCCCAGAGGTCGCAATCGGGTACCCGATATCCGTACCCTACCCGATACCCGGCTACCCGTACCCGGCCGGGTATCGGGTACGGGTAAGGAATCAAAACCCGTTTGCGACCTCTGGTAGCAAGTAGTAAAATTGTGGTAAACACTGAAAATGGAAACGATGACAATAATGGCAGTGGAAGATGGCAGTCTTTGCGCACACTCTGTTAAGCGAGAAATCACGACTAATGCCATTGACGCGGCATCTGAACATCAATCACCGATCTCCCGGTCTTCAGAGCAACAACACAAGCCACGCCAACGGTCCTGTTCAGGGCCAAACAACGCGGCAGTAAGCAAGAAACATGACATTTGAACAACATCTCTGAAGCCGAACATGAGCAACAAACAGGTTTAACTTACCGAGAACACCTCGTGTTCCAGGTAGGGCATTATGATCACCACATGGTCCTTGTTTCTGAGACACTGCAGCACTTCCATCACATTGTCAACACCTCTGCAAAAAAAAAGGTAAGCGTCATGAAAAATATCATTTCGTATATATTTACTGCCTCGTGTCACCGTCACCATTACCGCAGATCCGTCGGTCGGTTAAAAAAATCCGTACTACTTTGTGAAAAATAAGAGTCGGCAGATTGATCATGCCATGGGAATGACATTTCCACCAGTGAAAATTGCATATTGGCAGTTTTGTTTTATGATAATGCAGACGACCAGATCCGTTACTCAATAACAAAGGAAGATTTTTTTAAAGATAAAATGCTCACTTTATTACCTCCATTCCCAGTCACGAGGTGGGCCTGACTCATACGTCTCTCGCAAGGCCCTGCTTTCTTACAATGATGGGTGTGATGTCAGCTCCTTCAGTCACTCAGCACTATTATAAATTTGACCTCATCTAATGTGTATGCATGTTGAACTTCTGTCGCACCGTACGTAGCCAACCGTGCTAATCAGAAGTGCGAAGGAAGATAGACAAACTAAATACTGCTTTTTGTGTTTAGTTTGTTGTCCTTCCCCCGCACCTCTAATTAGCACAGTTGGCTACGTACGATGTCGAAAGAAGTTTAACATACAGACATAGATTTATGAAAGTATTAATCCTTGAAAATCCCTTTCGACGAAACATCTTACTTGCAAAGGTGTCCAGGGTATCATCTGGCACATACGTAACACGTCACGTCACATATACAATACAATTTGGTGCTCGGGGATGGGGAAGTTTGTTTGGCGCAGAGTTTCGCGGTTTAAAGCAACACTGCTAGAATGACTCCCCAGAAATCTCACTGGCTGATGGTTATAGATGTTACTTGACTGGTGGTAAAACAAACCCTTGGCTACTTTTTTTTATCATTTATTTATTACCCACATTCCACTACGACAGCACGTGTTTTTTGCAATGTTATCAAAATCTTATTCTTGGTTCTTTCGGTAAAAGTCACGTAGAAGGGAAATAATAAAATAATAAAAATAAAACAATACAATTCTCACCTTTCAATTGCAACACAAGCAATCATCATCAGGTGTGAAAACCACAGCAAGAAATTTTGAAAAAAGTGGCTGTTGTTTTCACACCTGATGATGATTGTGTTCTAATCAAAACGTCTTGAAAATGTTATTGTTTCATTTCATTTATTTTATTATTTACCTTTTACGTGACTTTACCAAACGAACCAAGAATATGAATCCCTGCAGTCACGAAAGCTTTAAATCGAAATTTATCAAAATCTGGTAAACAATAAATTAATATGATCGTGCAAATACTAAAATGCAATGAAAATTCTACGAACTATTCCAAGTCACTTTTAAACTGCACTCACATTAATAAGCACTGGAACGTCTCAGCTATGTTGAATTGTATTACTTGAATCGAGAAAGATGCTCGTACCCTGCTTCCATGAGACACTGAACCTCAGCGGCGATGCGGAGTGGATGGCTGGTGGGAATGAGGTATTTAACAGCCAGAATTTCTTCTTCACCAGATCTTGGCACCTTCCCTTTGGCCATGTAGACACTACTGAATGTGCCTGCGATCAAAGAAAATTATAGAAAGTGAAACGCCTCTTAGCCACACTGACATGAGAGGTGGAGAAGCAGGGGTAAACGCCCAACAATCTGATTAATTTTCCACAAACATCCAGGTGTGTGATGCTGACTCCCGAGAGGATGTAAAGCGTCGCTGACGGTCGAGCATCGTGATTGTCACTTCATTCGTTCATCACGCAGGGTCAGCGAAGGTCTGTTGTGCCAACGTGTGACCTCTTGCGACAGAATTCATATAAGCTGCTCTTGCTGCCATACACCGGTGTCTCGAGTGATTTTTTTGATGCACGTATCACAGGGCGACTACGGGTGCAGTGCCATTCCTTTGATTGTCACTAACTTCGGCCAATTAGGAATACAAAGAAAACTGGGAACATTGGGAGCACTCGAAAATCGGGACTACGAGAGGGCTCACCAGGACTACTGGGAACACAGCTTGTAAACCCAGAACCGCTGGGACCACTATAGGGACCAACACTGAGACCACCATGACCACCACCAAGACTATGAAGACCACTAACGAGAAGCTGTGTGCACAATCAGCGCCTTTCAAGCACGTATATCATGATTCATTTTCTGCCACTTAAAAGTTACTTCTCTCATCTGCAAGTAATATAATCACTCAGATAATAGGAAAACCCACCGATTAATTTGGGGGATGGAATATTAGGGAGAGTTGATAATAGGAGGCTGGATTGACAGAATGTTACTGAATTGTATGAGTATTTCAAAAGACATTCAATACTAGAAACCAAGGTTATTCAATGCTTTCAAACGGTTTATTTTAGCTATTTAACAGTTAACTAGAATGCCATTTAAAATATATATATTATTTCATAAAACATTCAACGCACTGAATATGATGATTATTTTTGTTTTCTATAAATATTTTTTAGCAGAAAGATGCACCAACCTTCTCCAATTTTTCTAATAATGTTGAAGCTTCTGAGCAAAGGGATTGCTTCATACAGTTGTTCAATTTCTGTGTTAACATCTGAAAAACAAAAGAAATCCAAACATTAATTTATTTAAAACATTGTTTTACATTGAAGTATTTCGATTCTAATCTGTCTCAAACAAAACGCATTGGTATGCTGTGCGGCAAGTTGCGTAACAATTGGTTTAGGGTTTTTTTTAGTTTTCACACCAACAAATGAAGCATCCAGCGGGCAGACAGACACGATATTTTCTCAGCAATAAGTTGTCTGCTAACTCTTAAACAACACAGCAGAAGCGTATATTTTTACACGCTTTTATTTAACTCACTGTCTGTTATTGTCGTTGTTGTTGTTGTCGTATCCTCAAATATTGTAACTCAATTTTAACCCACTTCCCAATGTGGTATTGACTGCAAACTTGGTATACGTATGTCACACTAATGACAATATTATATTCTATAAAAAAATTAAACTTTTTTTTTTAAACATTCATTTTTATATGTTATGTTTCGGCTTGGGTCTAATTGTCCACGCTCAACTGACGTTGGCTGTAAATCACCACGGCCCCTTACGTTATGGCAAGCTTCGGGGCCACTTCCTGGAGTCGTGGAGTTCTGCCATTACGAGTAGGGTACATTTCATTAAAGCGTGTTTTTAAAAAAGTATTTTTAAATATTACTTATTCTGGCCACTGTCAGCACTTTGCATGTCTGCACACATCCTTTGTGTGTATTGGACAACGTTCAATTTGTGTTGTGGTCAGAGAGTTTGACAAGTCACTAAGAGAAAGCTATTAATTTAACAAAAATTAGGGACCGTAAAATATAATCCTCCTCTTACACATTTCCTCTTTATGACAGTTTACAAGACTCTTGACAATGCTTCGGTATTTCAGATTGGTTTATCTATGTGTCTGCAATGTGTTCGATTCCTTCTGTACCGTGGTTGCTTTTTGCACAGAATTATATTTGCTGTATTTTTTTTTCTCCTTGCATCATTGTAGTAACCGAGGTCACCTGGTGAAACAAAGCAAACTTGAACTTGACTTTATGTCTACTTCAGCCAGGAGGCACTGTGGTTTTAGCACTCAACTTACGAATGTCGAGCGCTTCAAGGGTTAATGTAGCAAAATATCCCCTCATCGGTTGAAAAAATTAGTAATAGTTTGTGGCAAAGCCAGCCGTTCTTGTTCCGCCGCTGAAAATGATTCGCCCACTGAAATGTACAATTTGCTTCACTGCCCCAGGGCTGGCGACAGAGATAAGAACTATTTACACCCTATGATGTTCCCATGTTGAATGTTTAAAAAAAAAACTGACTGCGTTGTGTACACAAGTGCACGTGGACGAGTCATGTGCAACTATTGAGCAATGTCGAAAGCATACAGTGGACTTTTTTCAACGTTGTTTTGAGTGTCGGACTAGGTCAGAGTTTGATGTCCGTTTATGCTTCTGGGAGACAAGCAAAACAACTTTTTTTCCCGTCTTTAATATTTCACAGAAATTGTGCAGAAAACATTTCCGAGCCAGTTTTGTCCATTGCATTGCAGCTAGGAATGATGTATTTTAAACTTAACGTGCAGTTTTTAAAATCATGACTTCTGAGCACAGTCCTAAAGGCCTGAAAACCCCAAGCAGCCAGTAACAAACAGTACAGCTGAAAGTGTTACAGATAACAGTTTACGTGTGCTTTTTTACGAGAACAAGGTTATAAGAACTTAGGGAAACAGACAATGGGAGGAATCCCATAGTTGAATAGAGATGCAGAATAATAATGTGTATGTATCAGCAAGTTTTAAACCTCGTCAAACACACAGTAGTCTCTCGGTTAACATCGGTTAACGGTTTTTCGGTTAACGTTTCGCCTCCCATAGGACCCCATGGTTCCGACGAACATTAACATTTTGACTAACGGTAGGTTCACGTTATATGCACGCGGGGGGGCCAATTTTGGCCAATCCGAGGGCTCGTAAGCGGGGCTGAGTCACGCCCTCAGCCAATCAGCGACGCCCATTTATGAGCGTTTAGACCTCGACTGGCTTTGTTTACATTATGTTTTCTTTCGGTAAAGTCACGTGACTTTACCGGAATAAAATAATTTTACGTGACTTTACCGAAAGAACCAAAGAGTACGCATTCCTGCAGTCACGAAAGCTTCAAAGCAAGATTACGTTTTCTGTTTTGGCAGTGGAAGCCGTCTGTTTCTCTTGTGCAGACTCAGTGAATTCATAGTGAGTGGAATGGCCCCTCAAGTTAATTCGCATAAGGAAAAGGGTAGGAAAGCAATTCGCCTTAAAATAACGCATTATTTTACATGTTCTTACGTGTATTTATTAAGTGTTTAAACGTTATAAGCTATGTTTTTAGGGTCCAAAAGGTCAACTTCTAATCGTCTTCGAACGGTTAAATGCTTTTAACATGTAATTCCTATATTCGATTAAAAGTTACTACGATGAACAGTAGTCAACCGAGGGACTCCTGTACTGTGACAGACTTTACCATGCTGGTGATCTTGGTGTGAACACACATGCGAGCGCCTCAGCACCACCGCAAGAAATGCAAGCACCTGAGAAGCTGGCTGTGTGCTTTTTTCTCTTGCTTTCCGCCGCAGTCTCCGGGTTCATTTTCCAAGGTGACTTGTGCGCTGTTCATTCAATGCCTCCAGAGTCCAGTGTGCATCCTGCAATCAAAATAAGTAATATTTAGAAAAAGCTTTTTAAAAAACACGCTTTTATGAAATGTACTAGTAATGGAAGAACTCCACGACTTCAGGAAGTGGCCCTGAAGCTTGCCATAACGTAAGGGACCGTGGCCAATTACAGCCAATGTTAGTTGACCGTGGACAATTAGACCCAAGCCGAAACAAAACATAAAAAAGATTGTTTAAAAATATATTTAAAAAATGATAGAATATAGCATTGTCATCAGTATGACATAAGTATATCAAGTTTGCAGTCGATACCACATTGGGAAGTGGGTTCAAATTGAGTTACAAGATTTGAGGATACAACAACGACAACAGAGTGAGTTAAACAAAAGCGTGTAAAAAAATGCATGCACCAAACTGTTATATAGTACTTTTCACTATTCAACCAAATAGCAAAATACCTTGGATACTTTGCGAACCTGAGTTTTAAACTGAATAGCATTTTTATATGGCATTTCAATAAACTGGCAAATGTCTCTGTATTGCTGTCTATCTTTTTCTCCGTCTCTGTATCTCATCTCTCTGTTTCATTGTCTTTCGTTATCCCTGTCTCTCTTTCTCAAAATGCAGCAGTAACACTTCCTCCGCTCTGCAGCTCAGTGTATGTCGAACTTCTTTCGCACCGTACGTATCGAACCCTGCTACTCGGAGGCGCGTGGGAAGGACAACAAACTAAACACAAAAAGCAGTTCTAAATAAATTAGTTTTCAATCGACATTTATTGGAGCACGAGTGGTGGGCCCTTAAAGACGTGACCCAAACAAGCAGTTCTTAACTTATTCTATGGGTCTTTCCGTAAAGCCACGTAGATAGAAAAATAATCAAAAAAATACATTAAAATATCACGACGTTTCGATCGCAACACAAGCAATCATCTTCAGGTGACATCCGATGACGTATCCTCTCACCTGAAGACGATTGCTTGTGTTGCGATCGAAACGTCGTGATTTTATTTGTATTTTTTATTCATTTTCTATTTACGTGGCTTTACGAATATGTATTCCTGCAGTCACGAAAGCTTTTAAGTAAAGTTCTTAACTTGTAGATACCGAAGCTGTGTGCGCGTGTCCCAGTTTGACTGAACAGAGTTGGAACCTTCGTCAGTGAGAACGCAGGCAAAGTGTTAAGGTCATTATGAAACTTTATAGTCACATCACTCCCATATGCTTCAACATACTTTAGCTCCTTAGTATTAGTTAAGACTTGTACCTTTAGTATAGTTAGACTTGTAAACCACTTATTTAAGATTCCTAAATGTTGAATGTATGCACCTTCCGGCCAAAGTAAATTCCTTGTCTGTGCGAACTTTCATGGCGAAAAACCCTTTCTGATTCGGATTCTAAATGTGTCAGGATGGACATTGAATTTAAAGTTTTTTTCTTCCCCAAAATGAATCTTCACGTTGGACAGACGAGGGATACGCAGCGTGCTGACATCTACAATGTGTTTGGGTTGTGGCTTCCTCTAAGAGTGTTTGTTAATCCCTCTGTCAAATCTACATAGATGTCAACCTCATTATACTGGTAGGAACGAAGTGAACCAGCCTACAATAGATTATATCGTCCGTCCGTCCGTGTAGCAACATCGCCCCCTACTGCAAACACTTGGCAGGACCCTACAAAAACCTTTAGACTCTGTGAGGCTTTCCTGGCTAAACAAGTGTAACATTCCCTTATAATTCCCTGAGATAGCTTTTTAATGAAAAAACTTTAGACTCAGTGACGCTTTCCTGGCTAAACAAGTGTAACATTCCCTTATAATTCCCTGAGATAGCTTTTAATGAAAACATTTAAATTAAAAATTAACTCAGAGCGGCTTAACGCCTACAGCTAGGCCTAAAACCTAGAACTAGGCCTCAAACTCTCCCTTCGTATCGTACCCCCGCGTGTGTGAAAAGAAGTTGATGTTTAACAATGTTACATTCCCTGATGTTTTTTAATAGAAACATTTACATTTAAAGCTTTTACATAAATAATTAAAACATTTAAAAATTAACTCACAGCGGCCTAAAGCCTACAGCTAGGCCTAAAGCCTAGAACTAGGCCTCAAACTCTCCCTTAGTATCGTCCGATTCGGTGTAGCAACATCGCCCCCTACTGCAAACACTTGGCAGGACCCTACAAAAACCTTTAGACTCAGTGAGGCTTTCCTGGCTAAACAAGTGTAATAATACATTATGTTTATATTCTTTGGTTATTCGTTCCTACCAGCCCACCCGCGGGGTCCTGTTCAGTGCCCTACCTGGCAAATTCACACCTCATTAATCCCAATGTTCATCCTACAAACTCACAATCACACAACATCGTATTGAAACGGTTGTGCACCGTATGGACCTGAAATCTTAATTTCCCCGTACAAGAATAGTGGGTAAACCCTATGGGTTGACAGGTATGAATTATACTTGATAAGTTATAGTTCATTTATAGAAAACTCGCGCGGTGAGGTGTTATTAACGCCGTAAAGAGTTGCTTCCCGCTCACGCGAACACACAACAGGCGTTTAAGCAACTCAACTCAACAATAAACATTAAACTTTTTTTTTATTTAAAGCTTTCGTGACTGCACGGATTCATATTCTTGGTTCTTTCGGTAAAGTAACGAAGAAGGGAAATAATAAATAATAAAAATATAAACCAATTTTTTTAATTATTTCCCTTCTACGTGACTTTACCGAAAGAACCAAGAATATAAACATTAAACTATTCACACTTTAGAAAGTCAGTTCCGCCGCCCCACTAATAGCGCGTTGTGTATTTAGTTTATTATCTTTATAATTAGCGAATTAATGTTAAAGTCCGCGTTACCCTGGCGACTTCCCGCCAAAACTCCGACTCGAACGCGCCGCCACCCGGAATTGAATGACGTAGCCTGCCCACCATTCGATTCGATTATTTGCAACGATTTCATTTTAAACCGATTCCTGTCGTTTATCGATTCTATGTATTCCTTTGTGTGTGGGGTGGGGAGGCGGCGAGCTTTGTAGTAGAATCGACCAAGTGATTTGTTGACACAATCAGAATCGGAATCTCGATTTGTACGGGAGAAATCCGAAAAGCTGTGAAGCTCTTTTCTTTATTTGCGCAGATATCCATGAGGGGCGTTTTAGAAAATTACAACAACAAACAATAAAAAAACGATAGGAGTGCAAAGCACTATATATAAATGGTAAGCAAATCACAACATTTTTTTTATTTGACCAGGCAAAGGGGCCGTCCATAAATGACGTCACGCACCTAGGGGGGGGGGGGTCAGACATTTGTAACGAGGGGGGGGGGGTGAGAAATGTGACGTCACATCAAAATGCACAACTTTAAATTAATTTCGACAATTAATTAAATATACTTTTTAATAAATGTTTTCTCCTACAACATCATTAAATACGCACTACAATGACAATAGTTTAAAGCGATTTGAAGCATGTTTTATTTCTTATGGGGGGGGCAGAGCTTTGTGACGTCATATTTGAGGGGAGGGGGTCTGACTTTTTGTGACGTCGTGTGACGAAGGGGGGGGGGGGGTCAAAAATCGTCCAAAATCGCGTGACGTCATTTATGGACGGCCCCAAAGCCCACTGAGCTACAGTATTAGTATATTTTTCAAAAGCGACCTGGCCACAAATGATAGCTCAACGAAGTAACACGATGACGAACAAGACGATGACAAACATGATGATTTATGATGACTCTAATAAACATGGTTGATGATAAACATAAAACGAAACTATAAACTATCTTTATTTGACCGGGTAAGGTCCACAACCGGGGAGAAAAGTCCACGCGGGCACAAAGAGAGAGAGAGAGACACGCAAACTCCAAATATACAGGCATCAGGCTCGGGATCGAACCCACGACCTCATGTATAACAGGCGAGGGAGTTAACATCTCTACTCTTTGGTTCTTTCGGTAAAGTCACGTAGGTAAAAAATAAAATAAAAATAAATTACTGTATCACTTGATACAATAATTTTGCTGTGACGGTGCCACCTGTTGCCTCCGAAACGTCGTGATTTAATTTATTTTAATTTTATATTTTACCTACGTGACTTTACCGAAAAAACCAAAGCGTATGGACCCTTGCAGTCACGAAAACTTCAAATCTAGAGTTAACATCTCGCCATCATTCCCATGAAGATGGAGATGATAACGACGGTGATAATAAAAGTGGTGGTTATAATTGATGGTCGTGGCACACATGATTAAAATAAATATCACGGTAAAAATCGTGATTATAAATCTAGAGGGCAAAACAGGTTGACGTTTTACAATTGTGAGGATGAAGGAGATGATTTTGAACCCACAGCTCATCTTGCAGGACTTCTTGAAAGCTATATTCTTGGTTCTTTCGGTAAAGTCACGTAGAAGGGAAATAATAAAATAATAAAAATACAATTCTCACAACGTTTCGATTGCAATACAGGCAATCATCATCAGGTGCGAAAACCACCTAATTATGATTGTTTGTGTTGCAATCGAAACAAGCAATCATCATCAGCAATCATCATCAGGTGGTTTTCACACCTGATGGTTTTCACACCTGATGATGATTGCTTGTGTTGCAATCGAAACGTCGTGAGAATTTTATATTTAAATTTTTTATCATTTTCCTTCTACGTGACTTTACCGAAAGAACCAAGAATATGAATCCCTGCAGTCACGAAAGCTTTAAATCGAAAAATTATTGAAAGCTGTCGAAAACTTCGCGGTTATGATCTTCTTGGACGAAGCTAACAACGCTTGAAAGCAAACGCAGAGAGACATTGGACAAATTGTTATTTTATTTCCAATCATGAATTGCAGCTGCTCATTCTCATACCTCACTTAAAAAAGGTACAGCCGAGTACACTTACTGGCAGTCAGTCACGTTGACATTGTTGGTTGTTTGACTTGCATCCCACTGGGATTTTTGCACACAGCGTTGGTGTACGGTGTTTTTTCTGCAATATGTTGCTGTCTTTAATCGGATTTTCTGTTTGCACTCAGTCACATATTCACTTTAAGATTTTTTTTGTTCATGTTTTTGTTTTTTGTTTGTTGCGGTTGCACCCGATTCAAGAGCCGAATGGCTCACAGGGCTATACCTAATAGATGAACTTGAACTTGAATAGAGAAAAAACAACAAAACTCCAAAAGCCCTTCTCGTGGCGAGCAGACCTCGACAATTGAGCATTTATCTCCTTAACACATTGGCATCATACGCAATCATAGAACCGTGAACAATGACGCTTTAATGTCTAATGATGTAGACGCTCACCTCGAGCCCTCATTACTTTGATAGTGGCATTGTCTTTGAGCTGTACGCCTTTTGGCGTCCTCTGGTCGAGCACCAATTGGGTCGAGGCTCAAAAGAAAGCTGTCTCTGGGGTGGACCAATCAGTTTCAAGCATAATGCATATATTATCATAGTGTGTTTATTGTTTGCATTCTGACTGCAAGTATTGTGGTTAATGCAGACGTGAATCCTTGTTAAAAGGTTTCAGTTTTGTTGCCAAAAGAAAAGGGAGAAAACCATATTATATTTTGGTACTGGCAAAGGAGGTCTAATGATGATGATGAAATGACGCTTTCGTTATGAATATCAAGTGTCCGAGCTACGGTGCAGACGTGTCAAGAGTCCACCAGACGGCGTGAGCTCGAGCGAAATAAAGAAAAGTGTGGCCCCTCTCTGACTTCGTCTGGTGGACTCTCTACTGTAGTTTTTTTTCTTTAGATGGCATTAATTCATCAATCGCTCATAGTTCAGCGAATGGACCGCTGCGCCCAACGTGTGACTTCCCGCGACAGCATTCGCATAAACTGCTCTTGCTGCCATACCAATGTCTCCAGTACGTCTCAGAAAGAGAGAAATTCAAGTCCCGAGTAAACAACGGTAAATAAATAAACATCAAACACAACGCTGGGCGCGGTCCATGGCAAGGCTTGTACCCCGTGGCAAAGTCCCCTGAGCGTGTTCTGATCTCCGGTGTTTGTACAAAACAAAGATTAATTATTGAGGGAACCTGCTCGAGCCGGTACAAGGCAGTTCTCGAGACGTTCCCGGAAGCTTTAGTGCACGTGGCAACCCAGCTATTTCTCGAAACTTCCAGAAGGCTGAGCCAGAATATGTATGACTGCATGACACATAAATAAATACATATTTCCAATCCCTCTGCTTCCTCATAAAATGCACAATTCTATTTTTCATAGACAACTTTGAAAAAAAAATCTCGAGTCTTCTCTTGAATTGATCCAACCTCATCAATGCAGTTAACAAATTGTCATGAAGGTCGTTTTATAACTTCAGTGCCATTTTGTCGCCAAGGCATACTCTCACTACACAATTCTGATGTTGGGGGTAATGAACTTAAACATTCCATACGCGTATGTAACGTGAACATCCCATTGATGACAACACTCCTCACAATGGCGTTCTTTTTCTTTGGGTCTTTCGGTGAAGTCACGTAGATAGGTTAAAAGAAAAGAACAAAAAATAACAAAAAACTTTGACGTTTCGATTGCAACACAAGCGTTCGTCTTCACGAATAAGTGGTTAGCTTCTCAAGGTAAACTGTTTATAAAAGTTTGACTTTACCGAACGACCCAAAGAATATGAATTCCTGCAGTCACGAAAGCTTTAAGTCAAGACTTAATGGCGTTCTTTCTTGATGCAAGATTTCACAACCGTTACCGTCATCACATGGCCTCTAACATCTGTTCTTAGCAGTTATCCCGACGTCTGACCTTTTGGTCTTTGGCATTGTGAGCATCCAGCAGTAGATTGACCAAGGCTTGGTTTACACACTGTACTTATAGTTCGAAGATCAAAGTACGCTCTGGTAATTATTTCAGTGCCGACTGAAGCTCTGAGACAAATAAAAAATGTGCCCACGGAATGCTGAATATCCTGCCATCCAAAAACAGGGCAATACAGTATTTTAATTATTAAAAGTGCATGATTAAGGCCAAAAATGTCAGTGGCAAAAAAACACACGTACTTAAGTGTAACATTCCACTAACTCCTATTTTATTCGGTATCAGTTAACAGAAATACGTTACTCAAGGTGTGTTTATGTAACTGGCCACGAGATAACGACATCGCTTTTGTCGGGTTTGGTTTCCTACGCCATTTCAGACACTAAATTATAGAGAGCCTTGTTGGTCGTGGCTTTTGATATTAAATGCAGTCAAATCGCTAGTACGTACAGAGGTAAAAGCAAATTGCAAGTTTAATTTCCCCTCTAGCAACAGTTACTTCTGCCAATTTATACTGGTAGGAACCACCTGGTTCCACCAGCCCACAGGGAATTATTGTGTCCGTCCGTCGTGCATCCAAAAATGGGAGGGGTGGGGCTGGGTGGAGAGGGGAGGGTGGGGAGGGGCTGGGTGGGGAGGGGAGGGTGGGGAGGGGCTGGGTGGGGTGGGGCTGGGTGGGGAGGGGAGGGTGGGGAGGGGCTGGGTGGGGAGGGGAGGGTGGGGGGTGGGAGGGGTGGGGCTGGGTGGGGAGGGGCTGGTCACCCCGTGGTGCCCTTATAAAACTCAACGTTTAACCTACTCACTCCGGCTTGTGCTCGCACTCACAGTCGGGGCATATTTGCGGAATACACCACGCCGCCGTTGACCCTGGCCATTGACCGAGCAACCCAAGGTTCCTACCAGCTCCCTCCGCAAGAATGTGTTTTTCTCTGGAACATTTATTTCAACGAGGACGTTATACAATTATTATTGAATGCTTCCTCCTGGGGGAGATACTACTTTACTTGTGGAGCTGCTGCCACATCGGTAGGCCACAATACGCCAAGTCACGGTTGTGACACATCAGCTCGCTAAACGTAACAGGGTGGTGCTTTTACGGTCTGTTGCAATGTTACATGACCATGGGTGTTTCTTGTCACATTTACAGATGTCGTTCGCGTTGCATTGACATTCTCGTCGTGTGCATTACTCGGCATATTAGATCAATATTAGGTTGTTTTGTTCAGATTCTTTATTTAGACTGGAGAGAATCCGATTAAGCTACGGGGGGCCCTGCCCCCCAAACCCCCCACAGACGGTCCAGTCGATGCAATAACGCCACCTCCAATTACGTACGGCGCGAAAGAAGTTCACGCGTTTTTACACAAAGGGGCCGTCCATAAATGACGTCACGCTGATTTTGGACGACTTTTGACCCCCCCCCCCTCGTCACACGGCGTCACAAAAAGTCAGACCCCCCCCCTCAAATATGACGTCACAAAGCTCTGCCCTCCCCCCCAACCATATTTCGATTTTGAAAATAAAACATGCTTCAAATCGCTTTAATCTATTTAATGTGGCGCTGCACTCTGATGTTGTAGGATAAAACATTTATAGAAAAGTCTATTTAATCAAGTAGAACGTGTTGTCTATATTTATTTAAATTTGCGCATTTTATGTGACGTCACATTTATCACCCCCCCCCCCCCACCTCGTGACACATCGTCACAAATGTCTGACCCCCCCCCTAGGTGCGTGACGTCATTTATGGACGGCCCCAAACTCCCTCGCCCTGTTGTTGTGACCTCACGCCGGATGCACGTGCACGTGCGGAAAAGTGCCGAGTCACCGTGAGGTTGCTGCTGGCAGGAGAGAGAGAAACACACGAGGGCACCACCTCCTTTGATTGGGGCGTGTGCCACAAAGACAAAGTCCCACACACCCCGTATAGCCTCAACAGACTGTTGGGGAAAGTGCTGTTAGCGAGTAGCACCTATGAAGGCAGGCACGGTACACGAGGGGGTGGGGTGGCCAGCATCACACGCCCGGACCGCCTTTGTCTCCCCAGTGGCGATGGGGTTTTTTTTGTCCCGCACCGCACCAGGTACTCGTGTGAGGCTGAGTCAACCTAGGGGAGGCCCAGTGGGAATCTAAACTCGGTGGTCAGGTTGGTAGCGCAGCGCACTAACCGCTACACTACCGCTTCTCGTGTATGTCTGTGTGTGTCACACACACCTCGTTCATTCAACAAGAGACTCCCTTTGCATTAAGCAAAAAACGACAGGCAAATCGACGAATTCGATTCGTGTAAAACAAAACATGTAATTTTTTTTTATCATACCATCCCTATGGGTTTCGTGGGAATAACGAGATGGAATGAAAGAATACTGAAGGCGGGCAGGAGAGACGAGCTATATGCAGTACCAAAGGAGTCAGGACCGACTATATACATAAACAGATTAGCCAGTAAATGTGCAACAACCTTGAGTACGTTGTTGCAGCATGTGGTTTGAACATTTGGACCAACGTTGACTCAACGTTCCGTGTTCACTGGGTATAGACATTAAAAAAAAGGAGACGGTCAATAACATACAAACCCAGACAGAAAGAAAGACCGCATAGTATAGGCGAGACCGAGGGACTGAATCAGTTACTACTGACAGGATAGACGGAACAGACACATTGCAGACAAGGCAGACAGCACAAATACGACAGGACAGACGAGATAGGACAAATAAGGAACGTGGTACAGACGTGACAGACACTATACCGCACATATAAACTATACGTACCACGACAGATACACCATCATAAGCGAAGTGGTGAAAGAGAATCGATTGCGCACTCGAGTTGGGTAAAGAGGGGACGTTTCCCCGATGCGAGCTGTTGCTTGTTTCCATGAGGTCACGTTGCTGACTCATCGCCTGGTGCTGAAAGGCGCGTGATGGTCCCCACAAGTGCATTGTCACGATTTCGCATCACGATGTAATCTTAATTTTGGAGCTTTCGTGACTGCAGGAATTATTCTTTGGTTCTTTCGGTTAAGTCACGTCTAAAGATAAAATAATAAATTAAATAATAGCATATTACGACGTTTATGCCTGATGATGATTGCTTGTGTTGCAATCGAAACGTCGTAATATGCTATTATTTAATTTATTATTTTATCTTTAGACGTGACTTAACCGTGATGTATTTTGTAACAGGATGATGATATGCAACAACCAAGGGGGGTTCGTGGGCAACCTGCGGGCTGCCGTTTTATTTTTTGTTAAACTTGCATCTCAAGTGTAATGTAACGTAAAGATATTTGGTTAAATGTGTCGGGGAATGGGTCACTGTGGGAATGTCTTGGTGACACCAGGATGTACCACGGTCAAACCGTATTGTTAAAGAATAATTAAGGGGGGAAATAACTACTTAGACGCAGTTTATTCCATCACCTGTTTTGTTTATTCGAGTCTAAATTTGTCATCTGCCGTATACCCACTGCTGTGTTTGTGAACAAGTAGCTCTGCTAGACATCTCGTAGCTAGCAAACCTCGACATTGACATTTAGCTCCCGAACATATTACCGTACGCAAGATTAGAATCCACGTACAAACGATATTTTAATTTACACAAGCCCAGTATTTCAGAAGCGTATGATGAATGCAAGCAAACTCCGATTTCGACATACATTGTCTCATCATGAGGGTCAGGTTACTTGAACGAATCAAGTATATCATCAGCCACAATATTGCCTTTTGTCTCGTTGAACAGGGCTGCTTACTTGAGAAGGAATATGCTCTTGGCAATAACATCTGGCAGCCTTTTTTAAAACAAACCTGACTTTGCTGATGAGACCAAGAATGTCAAAACCGGTCCAGAGTATGAATGCTTAAACAAATGTTGCTGATGGGAAATACCTGAATTGGTCTGGAAAGCCAGTATGCCGATAGAATAATACGTGATTTCAATATGTGGAGACATGGCACAACGTTCTGCTAATGTATGCCTTTATACAAATGAGACTTGCTTTAAATCAAAAGCCCTACTACACACGTGCCAATAATACTCACTTTAAAGGAAATAAATATGTATACTTTATGAATGTACGGTTGTGTACCACAGCCAACGCACTGCCACAATTTAACGCATCTGGTGGTGTTATTGCATTGGCAGGGGTGCACAGTGGACACAAACCTGAACACAATCATTAATAGCGCTGGCTTAAACGTCAAAACAAGGGTTAGGCGACGTTTGCCTATTATATAAGGTTTACCTTTAAGGAAGTGTTATTGGCGGATGTGTTTTTTTAATTCTAAGTTGGTCTCGTTTCTACAAAAGCATATCAGCAGAACTCTGTCTTGTGTGCCCACACACTGCACGAATATACATTAATATATCACAGTCATTCTCAAAGCGTCGGTCATGGGGTTGTTTTTTTGGGACCATACTTCACCACGCTGGTCATTTCTGGATGGTGAAAGGGGAGATGGCATAACCCCGTTCTGATATCACTTTCCACTCATCACTTCACTCATGGTTGAAGGCCACACACACACAATGTCAATCATGGAGATGGCATGACCGGTTCTGATCAAATCTGTACCGTCACTGAGTTTGTGTGTGTGGCTACCTGGTTTATTCCAGGATGTTTCTGTTGCGCGTCTTCGCTTTAAGATGTTCTCCGTTCATATTTTGTTTGTTGCGGTTGCACCCGATTTAAGAGCCGCATGGCTCACAGTGATATACCAAATAAATGAAAAATACATAAATTAAACTTGGTGCGGTGTGTTAACATCATCACTGGGGAGACAAAAGCGGCCGGGCGTGGTGCCTGGCCAGCCACCCCCCCTCTTGTGCCACAGTGCCAGCCATCACAGGTTTGCTACTCGCTAACAGCACTTGCCCCAGCAATCTGTCCCGGCTATACGGGGGGTGGGGGGGGGACAACCTTTGTCTTTGTTTTGTGTCACGCGCGTTTTTTGTGTGTGCGAGAGCCGCCCACCTCCTGGAATCGCGATTCCGTATTAGAATCGCCAACTCACCGCGAATCGCGATTCCGTTGTTAGGGATTCGCCCTCTGAGCAGGAATCGCGATTCCGTTATTGGAGTCGCGCGCTGAGTAAGCGAATCGCGATTCCGTAGCTCCTCCCCCACCTCCTCGCTGGGTATAAATAGAGGGAGCATCAGCTTCGTGCGCCACAGTCGAGCTGCGTTCCTGCTTCAACAGTGTTTGAACGGAACCACCACTTCGACTCTCGCCTCCTCAACGCTTCGTAAACGAGCAGACGTCAACAACTCTCTGTTCACAAGCCAACCCACCCCTTTGGGCCTGTTTGTTAAAGCAGTTTTTTGTTTATTTGTTACGCTCGCAAACGAGAGAAGCAAAGACGCGCACGATGACTTCCCAGGTTCGCCAGAATTACGCGCAGGATGTGGAGGCGGCCATCAACCGACAGATCAACATGGAGCTGTCTGCCTCCTACGTCTACCTCTCCATGGTAAAGCACACATAACCCAGCTGTCCACGTAGGAGGAAGAATATCTCTTAATCGCTTAGCGAACGTCAAGGGCGTGTGGTGAGGCAATGGCGGGCTTTGTTAGAGGGGACGGGCAAAGCGGTGTTCGCGTGTTACGGGCGACGGAATTAATTGGGGTTATCGAGGCGGGTTTCGTTTGTTTGTTTGGTTGAGGAGGGTTTCGTGCGTGGGTTTGTTTTTTTATTGGCGAGCAAATTTTCTGTGGCGGTGTTGGTGAAGATGAACTTTTAAGGGGAGGGAATAGGTTTTGGTGGGGTGGCAAGGGCTCGTTAACCGAGTCGTGTTACCATCTGGAACGAAGTTTGGTTTTTTGTTTCGAGGTGGATGAGGTGCGTTTACTGGTGGTGGTAATAATGATGAACGAGGGTGGTGGTGGTTGTTGTTGTGGGCGATGTGGAGACGACGCTGGGGTCGGTGGTGACCGAGGCGAGTGCGAAATGGCGGCCGTGGTAAATAAATAAATAACAGCTGATGCGCAGACGCGTTTGTTAAAATTTAATTTTAACAAAACTTAAAAACAAACACTCGTGAGTGGTAGCGCATTGAATCGTCTACCATTCTGCTTTGTATCGTCGTCTGTGAAATGTGAACGTTGTTTTGACGCGTTCCCGTCTTTTTTTGTTGTTAAATGTATTGCACATTCGTTAGCGTTGCGAACACGCAGTTAGCATTTTAAAAACATCTCTCCATCGTCTCTGCCCATCGACAGCAGCCGCTAAAGCTTTCGTTATTTCGGTAATTCCTCCCCCCTCCACCCACCCAAGCCACTCGTGCACATGAAGGACTAATCGTCGTCTCGCAAAGGGTTGCGACCGACCCCTCCGGTTAAACAAACTCTAATCCACTGCTGGATGAATCCACCACCACTGCATCTCGACGATGCATTGTCACCTTATTTGAAGGTCACGACTCGATTAAAATACATTTGGGGTTGTGGATGTAATTTAGGACAGTTGGGGGGGCCAGGGGGGCTAATTGGTAGACAACGAGCAGAAATTACCACGTGGAAAATAAAACATCTCTCGGTGGCCGGAGAGAAATATTTGCGAGCAGAGTAGTTTCTTCAATAAATGAAGCTTACCAATGTGGCTAATTAAGCAAGTGTTTGTAGTTGAACGAGAGTTGGAGATGCCTCTGGCCAGCTTGGCCTGGGAAGGTGGTTAGGGGGGCATTGAATGGGGCGAGATGGGCGTTGGCTTGCCACGGAGAAATGGTTCGCGTGGCAGGCAAAGAACACTTTGTTACTTGGGCAAACGTGAGTCAATAATAGGTGGCGTGTGGAAACGTGCTCGAAATGACCGCATAGGGGGGAGGGGATTTGGTGAGGGAGGGGAGAAGCTGTTTACGCCTCCAGTATGTAATAAAAAACCCATCGTCTAGCTGGCTTACAGCACAAATGGTTTTCTTTTATAGTCATTTGCTGGTTTTTTGGAGCAAATGCCCCTTAAGAGTAGGAAAGGGGGGTGAGGGCAGAGCGTTTTTGCCTTAAATAGTTGAGAGATTTGTCCATGGATACTTAATGCAAACATTCGTGTAATGTTTCGGCATGTAATTCCATGGGTAGCCACATGGGGGTGACTTGTGATTTTAGTCAAAGCACAGGGCGTTTGCTGTAGCGCTTGGCCCGCAGCATACACACCAAGGTGGCGTTGACAATAATAGAAGCTCGTACAATGACGGAGAGCGTCGTGAATAATCCTGTTGTTGCTTCGTATTTGCAGGCATACTACTTTGACCGTGACGACGTGGCGCTGAACAACTTCTTCAAGTTCTTCAAGGAACAGTCCCACGAGGAGCGCGAGCATGCCGAGAAGCTGATGGCCTACCAGAACAAACGTGGCGGGCGTGTTGTCCTCAAAGACGTGAAGGTATGATTCAAATATACTTTTTGACAGGGGTGCACATGAGAAAAAAATCTCCACATTTTTTGCGATTAAAATATTTGAATGGTTTCACATTTCTGGCAATGGGAGGCGCTGGTTACAATTATCACGTGAAAATAACTGCATGCCCTGAAAGCCAATTCATGTGCAGAGACCGATAAGTTAAGTTAAAACGTGGGTGAAGTCTCGCCTACACATTCTTAGGTTTTTTTCGGTAAAGTCACATCGGTAAAAAATTTAAATTATTAAAAATAAAATAAAAATCACGACGTTTCGGAGGCAACACAAGCCTCCGTCTTCAGGTGGGACCATCACAGCACGCTATTGACTTAACCCGCCTGCATGCATCACAGTAGAGTTAAAACCAATTTCACAAAGCGTGGGGGGGGGGGTTGTTGAAGGTGACGTAGAGACGTTTCACATTTCCCGTGTGTTGGGTGTGCGTGTAGAAACCTGAGCGTGACGAGTGGGGCAGTGGGCTCGAGGCCGTGCAGCTGGCGCTGCAGCTGGAGAAGAACGTGAATCAGTCGCTGCTGGATTTGCACGCCCTTGGCAGCAAGGAGAACGACCCTCAGGTACGCTGCTGGAGGGATAGTGGAACACATGTGCCTCTCAACCTTTCCCGTTTTGATGACGTACTTCGTTTTAAATCTGGTTTAATATATTGATTAGCATCTTTTAACAATGGTTTAACTATGTTTTGTGGTTTTTAATGTTCTGCAGCTCTGCGACTTCCTGGAGAGCCACTACCTCGAGGAGCAAGTGGAGGCCATCAAAAAGCTTGGGGATTTCGTCACCAACCTCAAGCGCCTTGGAGCATCGCAGTCTGGCATGGGAGAATATCTGTTCGACAAGCTCACCCTTGGCAGCAGCTAAATCTCCATCATAACGTTAACACATGACAACGCGTTAATGTTTAGTTGCTTTGCCAGGGTTGCTTCCTAACGTAGCAGGGAGTTAAATGTCGATTCTTCATCCAAAGTGCTTTTGTGATGGTTCTCCCCCCCCCCCCCACCATCTCTGCCAGTTGCTTTCGCTGCATGTCATGTGTAACATTCTAAGCAAAAATAAAAATTGACAAGCATGATAAATTGTGTTGTGTTTGTTTGACCAAGTATGCTTTAAGTATGGAAATTTAATTATGAACGTTGACTAATTTTGATTTTCTTATGAAATTTTAGTTGTCCTTTTGACTGTCCAGCATTGAAAGAGATACCTTTTGAATGGTGCCACACTAGATGTGCAGACATTTTGTGGGGCTACCTACAGCATTGCCACATCCCATTTGCAATGGGGGGGACTAAAAGGGTGGCCTTCAATGTGCTCCCCCCAACAATACTCAAATGTGAAAACACTCCTTACAAGGTGGTGGTGGACCTCACTGATGTCTTATTGCAAAAGTGGGGCCTCCCTCTGAAAATTAGTGAAGAACATGGCACTACATGCTTGGACAAGATGTTACCAGTCCAAATGTCACTGGCTTATCGTGGCAGACTGGTCCACAAATGGTGTGTGGCCCACGACCTTGTTGGTGAAATATTTCAGGGTAGGTGTGTAGTGCATCAAATATAATTGCATTGTTACGCTGATGTGCATCGGATCATTGCGATTCAGAAAATGGAGCACAATCCACCTCACCAACCAGAGTTGGCACCAAATTACTTCGTTTTTTTGGATTGAAGGGATTTTTAAGATTAGGCCAACCATTAAAAATTTAATTCGGTGACTTAGAAGCCATGCCCCCGAAAGAAGAGTACCAGAGATGCCTCGACAAAAGCCAGGACCGCTGGGATTTCTGCGTTCGGTCAGGACCAAAACTACTTTGAGGGTGTTAAATTTGATTTGGCATGTCCTTTAGTTTTTTCTCGATTAAAATAGCACCCGGTACTTTTTTTTTATCAACCCTCGTAAGGTGGAGCTTCTTTCGCAAGCCGTATACGTGGCCAATTGTGCTAATCGGCATACCCTTTCAACCCCGAGTGCCGACCTTATTACAGACCAATTCAGAACGCAGGAAAAATGTTAAGTGTGTCATGGCACTTTATATAGCACATCACTCCCATATGTTTCAATAAGCAAAAGGTGTCGGGCTGGACAATTAGTATTTTTTTCCCCCCCCAAAATGAATCTTCACATGTTGGACAGGCAAGGGATACGCAGCGTGCTGACATCTACAATATATCTGTTTTTGGGTTGTGGCTTCCTCTAAGTGTTAATCCCGCTGTCAAATCTCCATAGCTGTCAACTCCTTACCAGTGCCCTACATAAAGACCAATTCAGACCTCATTGGCCACCCTGTGCCCTTATAAATCTCAACTTTCATCCTACAAAATCCCATCGCAAGGGAGAAATACTCAAAAAAAGTTGCCCGTATTGCAACAGGTGTACGCCGTATGGACCTGAAAACTCAAAAGAATACGGGGTAAATCGTATGGGTTGACAGCTATGCAATCGGTGGTGTGGGGTTAACTCGTTAGCAACAAAAAAATACACGGTAACTAAAAGGAACAAGGCCGTGCGTTTTGGAGTTGTAAGCAAGCACGATTTATTCACAAAGTCACGTACATCTAGGAAGTGAACAACATAACGTACTGCTGGGGTCAATCCACCCAATTTAGTGGAATGTATACACAAGCGAGTGCCAATTTTAACCAATAAACCATCGCGACGATCGGCAAAATCACTGCCGTCGCATCGAGTGTCACCTAATCAACATCGTTAGGGTCACTGTGTCAGAAGCCACGCCAAGTAGACACGATCGCGTGAATTGGCCGTACTTCGAGCAATCACCACGAGCAACCTCGGCAGGTATAAAATGAAGCGTCGCACGCAAGCGGTGTGTATTAATTAATGCCACCGAACGCGTTGACACAGAACGTTTTGAATCACGTGCAAATCGTGGGGCACACAACGTGCTACTTTCCGACGAAGACCCAGAATGCCACGGGCAGCCACCACTCGTTACAAAAAAAACTCACAATTGTCGTCATTCCGTACGAAACGTACCGTTTGCACGGAACGGATGTTTGGCGCCTTGCAGTTACGGGTGGTTTTTTTTTTGCGAATGGACTTCTTTTGTTCAAACAGGTGTCGTTTGTTCAATGGAACGTCGCTTGGGAAAAATTGACAAGACGACTACAAATGCCGACGAGGTTTCCCTCGTTTTTCGCGACGAGGGACACGTTCCGGAAATGCTCATGAATAGCAAATTTGGCGGATAATGATAATGGCCAATGAAAACCTTTTAAACGAATTACCTTAAATAAATACATAACTAAGCTTTATCTTTCATCATTGCATCTTTTCATCACTTTAACTCGTCGCATTCTCATTACTTTATCTCATACCTTTATCTCATCACTTTATCTCATCACTTTATCTCATCACATTCTCTCTTATCGCTTTATCTCTCATCACTTTCGCTCTCTCTCGACGCAGTCGCGTAGCATTCCAGATGCGATTCGCGGATGGCCAACATCGCGGATGATAGACGGGTTCGCGAAAAACGAGGGAATGCAATCGGCCATTAAAAAGCGTATCCTACTCGCCGACGGAATGAAACAGCAACGCGTCATTTGTATTTTGTCGAAACAAAAAGCGTTTTAGGATGCAGCGAATGGGTTCAACGTCAGAAAATCAGCGAATCGTAGTGGATTCTACCCCACTTGCTGTCACGACTGGGACGCAACAGGAAAACAAAATAACAAATGCGTCGAGTACACACGTTGAGCCAGTACTGCAGTTGGCTGACGAAGAGAAACAATTAACATCTTTGTAAAACCATAAGTTATTCAACGTTTTTGTTGTTGTTTAAAGAAAACCCAGCACGACGCAATTCATTACCGCCGGGCACCATCGACGGATCACCCGTTACAACAACACCCATTTAGCGCACAGGTGAAACGAAACATGTGGCAACACGGACCACCACCCCGACACACGCCTCAACAACACTCCCACGGCGCCTTACAGGAATTTAGCTTTCTTGCTGGCCCCCCCACTGCGACGCCGAAGTGCGTTCGACGTTTCCGCGGACGTGGAACGGCGCTCGGAGCCACCGAGTTCGTTGGTAACTTGAAAGCCACCCGAGAGACCGTGGGGGCCTCTATAAAGTGTCACCTGCCTCAAAGTCGCTGTCGATTGAACGCTGCTGCTGCTGTAAATATAACGATGGCCTGTGTTCAAAACGGCGGGGGCACACCACACGGCAGAGGTCACAACCGGGTACCCGATACCCGTACCCTACCCGATACCCGGCTACCCGTACCCGGCCGGGTACGGGTACCCGTTTGCGACCCTGGTGCGGCCGGGTACGGGTAGGCCGTGAGTCACTGGTGAGTAACCGTTTGTCACTCATTTCCCAACGTCTTGTCTCTTCTCACGATTCAAGTTGCTAGAATCAACCCACCCGTGCCTTCAACATGGCTTCATCCCAGAGGTCGCAATCAGGTACCCAATACCCGTACCCTACCCGTACCCAGCCGGGTACGGGTAGGGTACGGGTACGGCCGGGTACGGGTATGGCCGGGTACGGGTACGGCCGGGTACGGGTACGGCCGGGTACAGGTACGGGTACCCGTTTGCGACCCTGGTGCGGCCAGGTACGGGTACGGGTAAGGAATCAAAACCCGTTTGCGACCTCTGCCACACGGAGAAGCCAAGCAAGGCAGTGAGACGACCCTGGCTTTGATACTATTTACGGTACCCTAGTTACTACAATGCTGCAGATTAATCAGCGGTTTTAACTCCAGCTGGACTGGCACCTCCGGGAGGAAGCAACACCGCTAACAACTTAGTCCCAGCGTTTCCATCCGTTGGACAATCGTGTGCCACCGGTGCAAAGTTGTGCAGCTGCGGGCAATGGAGTACAAAATTGTGCTTTGACTGTGCAGCCGTGGCCTAAGGGGGCATCGCCGGAACATCTAATTTTCGTGGCGCTAACGAGAGCAAAGCGAGGGCTCGCGTGCGAGATGTTTATCGCGCTGGGCGGCGGGGGGGGGCAGAGTGAAAGCCACGCCAATGATTGCTTGCTATTCATTCGCAAGAAGATGTACAACTTGGTTGCAATTAGAGATGTCCAGGCAATCACTTTTTGGGAATTACGTTTTAAAAAAAAGGATTTTTGGGAACGGCTTGGTGGCACGAATGATTGCTCGAGCATTGACCGGGCCTTCGACCGCCTTGCTCATTCCGCTGGCTTCGGAGTAATGTTTTAAACGAGTAAGAAGTCTTTTGATGGCGAAGTGCACGATACCGGTGTGGTCATTTGTATTTGCTCGTCTGTTAGGGGATTCATAAACGATTTGGCTTAGAGCTGTAGTTTGAATGGAAATGTCAGGCTTTCTCAGACGGATGGTCGTTTTGCTCAGGCATCGCGACGAGCAACTTGGGAACGTACAGACCTGGCTTCCCCACACTGTAGGTGTTGCTTTGACCATACTTCACCAGGCTGGTTAGTGCGGGCTGGTGCAGGGGGTGCCAGCTTCGAACCAATTGGAAATTCACTCGCCACTTATGTTAAGCCATGGCCGGGAATTTAACTTAGGTCGCTGAGTTAACCAGGGGGCTCTCTCCAACCGTCACTGGCTATTGGCTTAATAAACGTGGTTGTGCAGTTATGGGGAAATACTCTCCATACTGACCTTCATATTTATATATCTAATAAGCAGAACAAAAATATTACTCTTAATACAATGAACTTAAATACAACATCTGTCATTATGCGTTAACTACTGGCAGATGGCTGTGTGTCACGACTAATGTGGAAAGCTGGACAAACTTGAGTAATTACAGTAATGCTGAGTCTGGGGTCGGGCCAAAACCATAAGACGATGTAGTTTTGGCCGATAACACTCAATTAAAACCACGTCGCATCAGTGCAGGGATCACGTGGCTTGCCTGAGCCACAGGGCAAAGTAACTGTTGCAAGTTTATTTTCAAAAGAATAGCTCCATGTTTTTTTTTCGAAGTTTGGGGTGCACACCGTTTGTGTGTGCAAGGTTCTCGCTGATGCGTGACACAAATTCACAGCTTTGTCGCGTTTTGATCGTTTTTCCACCCCCCCCCCCCCCCCATCGCTCTGTTTGAAAAATATGCTTAAAATTCTGACAATGCCAGGAATTAAAGGAATTACAAAAATGAATCTTTCCTTTGGAAATCATCTCCGGTTTTTTTGTCATTTGCCCTGCTAATCCGAGCCTTTGAGAAAGTGAAAAAAACATCGGGATATTTAAATGTAATGATGTTAACTGTGAATGTGGCATTTTTACAACTGCTGATGAAAATATTTTTCGGTGAGGTACAAAATCTAACGCAGTTGGATATTAACACTATCGCTAGATAATTTACATCCGTAAAGCTGTTGTTCAACACTGGCGTCTATACCATGCTTGACATTTGCAAAGATTAATTGCTTGCAAAGATTTAATTGAGCTACGCTTGAAAAGTGTATGTGGATGTATAATTGCTTTTAGATTTGGACGAATTTACATTTCACGGTTTTCTTATTTTGACAATCTTCTGAAAAACATTCATCTAGCCGCACGGGAAAGTATTTCTTCTTCCGTTTAACACGTGGTAGGCTTACACGACCAATCTTAGCCGTAATTGTTAAGGTTTGTCACGTAAACAAAACGTACCAATTAGTTACTAGTTCAGCACACCGGTATGTCGGACAGTAAACCCACAACATTCACAATTCGACATTTCGCCGGCAATTACAACCAGCCTCGTCAGATGACAGCCATAATTGTGGAGAAATGCTTCTGTTTCTGTCTGTTTGGCCAATATTTCTACATTTGAAGCTTTACATCAGCAGCACCTGAACAACTCTTGGAACCTCCCATTTCAACCAGTCTACATAACAAAGGCTCATTCCTTGCAGCGTGTTTCAGCCGCACCGAACCTCACAATGGCTCCTCCCACCCTCAACCAGTATACATACAAGGACTGTTTTCTTGGAATTTCTCTTACTTGATGCAGCAGTCGTGCTATGACGGTTCCACCTGAAGACGGAAGCTTGTGTTGCCTCCGAAACATCGTGATTTTTATTTTATTTTTATTTTACTTTTATTAATTAAATTTTTTTTACCTAGGTGACTTTACCGAAAAAACCTAAGAATATGAATATTGGCCAATATTGTTCACGATGATTATATGACACAGAGGTTCAAGGTGGAGTGAGTTCATGGTCTCAGCTCGGTCACAAATGACTGCACAATAATAACCTCTGCACTTAATTTGCCTATAAATTTCCGGGATCTGAGAATTTCAAACAATGGTTTCACTGTCATGAAATGATCATCACTCTCAGCGGCCGGGCGGGTAAGTGCTACCCCCTACCGTGCTGACCAGAGGTCATTTTAAGGGATTTCAGAGGTAGCTATTATGTAACAAAAGAGTTGCCATATCAATTAAAACACAATTTGCTCAGTCAACAAGCGCTGGACTATAATTCTACGAGTGGCCCAAATTATTCTCATTGCGTCTCGAAAGTAAAAGCCAAGCTCAAAATGTGTTAAATATACTGGGGGAAATATAATAATACGATTCAGTTTTTTCCGTACGTAACCCGTGATCTGTTCAATTAATACCAAGGTCATTAAATTTGCCACAATCGATGATGTTGCCTTTTATAAAGTTACAAGTTAAGGGAAATGCAATGTTTTCACCTGTAATATCAATGTTTACTTTGGAAGAAAATAGGCGAAGAGCATTTTTAATATATTATTTTACATTTAAATTGTATTAATAACCTCGTTTTCCATCATGTTTTTGTCTATTTTAATGTATAGTTTTGTATAGATTAAATATAATCATTTAACTGTAAACATCGTGCTTTTAATATTTGTCATATAGGGTGGCTTTATTGCATTTATGTTACACAGTGGCTTTTTTTAAGGGTGCATATTAGCGATATTTTTTTACTTTTCAAATCTTTACTGTTTGCTTATTTCCCTCTAATGCTTGATCGCTGGCTTTTGTTTTCAACAAATAGCGTGGAGTCGCCACCTCCACGTGACGAGAAAACGAACTTGACCAGCGTGCGTTTTTGTTTTTTAATGATTTTTCATAAATTGCCATTGGACGTTCAGAAGAAGAAAAAAAACTCGTATTTATAAATGAGTGACTTTTTCAAAAAGGTTACTTTGGCCTGTGTCTTTCCAGCCCAATGTAAACGCCCTCACGGCGGCTTTACGACCCACGGGGGTTCCTAAAAAAAAACAACGAGTTTTTGTTGTTGTTGTTATTTTTCCCTCCCAACGCCTTTCGCTCACGTCGCACACAGGGAACCACACACCGAACGGGGGCCCAAACTTAGCCGCGAGCGTCGCGACCCCGAATCGGCGGTTACGCATACGTGCCGGGGTCCACGCTGCTCGACCGCCTCGTAGGCGACGTCTGGTCGAGTGGCCGTGGATGGCTTTCACTCGCAGGCCAGCTTGCCGTCGAAGCTCGAGAGGGCGATGGAGAACGCTTGCAGGGCGCACAACGGGTAGCTGTAGTCCATGGTGAAGATGTCCTCGGCGACGCGGCCAAACTGCATGATGATGTACTCCGCTGCACGTGCAAAAACAAAGACAGAGAATCCCCATGTGCCGTGTAGCCGTTTTAAACAGTTTGTTGTTGGGGCCGGGTGCTGTTCGCGGGTAGAACCTTTGAAGGCCGGCCGACACAGCGCATGGTGTGGGTGGGAGACAGGTGGCCAGCACCACGCTCGGCCACCTTTGCGGGCGAACAAAGACAAAGATCCCCGCGTACTTGCGTAGCCTTTTAACAGAATGCCTGGACGAGTGCTATTCGTGAGTAGCACCTATGAAGGCAGGCTGACCAGGGCAAACGTACGGTGGTGGGGGGAGCAGGGGGCGGGGGTGACCAGTATCTCGCCTGGACGCCTGTGCCGATGTTTACACACCGCACCGGGTGCTCATATAAAGCTGAGTCGAACGATGCAGGCCCGTTACTGGTTCAGATATTCGTCACTGATGATGGCCCTGAATGGGAATCGAACTCGGGTCGCCGTTGATCGAATTGATCTTGATCCCGACTTTGCAGCCTCCTCGACTGAGTTATTCTAACGTTTAACCGTGGTTAATTTCCGTAATTGACTGCATAATGACGACGCCATCAGCAAATATACGATGGCTGATGCTTTCTCCATCTGTATTTATGCCGTAAGTACCTGCATACATCGTTTAGCGTGGCATAATCGAGGCACATTGTTAATATTCTTAGGTTTTTTCGGTAAAGTCACTTAGGTAAGCGTGCTGTGACGGTTCCACCTGAAGACGGAAGCTTGTGTTGCCTCCGAAACGTCGTGATTTTTATTTTATTTTACTTTTATTAATTTTAATTTTAATTTTTTACCTACGTGACTTTACCGAAAAAACCTAAGAATATGAATCCTTGCAGTCACGAAAGCTTCAAATCTACACATTGTTAATCTTCCTTCAATAAAATGTATCCTGAAGTCGAATCTTAGCGCCAGATACAGCCACATTTGCCAGTGTCACTTTGAACTTTGAATCTCACCCATGTATTGAATGTGCAGTGTAATTGATGGACTGAGTGTTGTCTTGGTGTGGCCTGGGACTGTTGTTGTTGTTGTTGTTTTGCTGCCTTGTCCAAGCTTGCATTTGGTGTTGACAAATCGGCAGGAATTGTACGTACAGTACTTGTGTAATTTGTACTTCTAAACTTTTACGGATTTATTTTTAATGACTTTCCTTTATGATGGGACCTTTTTGGAAGCATCAAAGTATGAAAAATAAAAATAGGTTTTTTATATAGCTGCTCACTCTGAGCTATCAATGCTCTGATACGTGCATTGTGTTTGTACTGTCCACCTGTTGGCATTCTCTGGTCTGACACTGGTGAGACAAGGCCATGAAGAAGGCCGTCTCTGGTGTAGGCCAATGAGTTTAAAAGACAATGCCATAATATATTAACAGAGCATATTTGTTTGCATGTTCACCACAAGTACGTGTGGTTAATGCAGAGTTGATTCTTTGCAAAAGGTTTCTATTTGGTGTTTGAACATCTTAACACCTCCTGTTTTATTGTCAGAAAGGGTAAGACCTATTCCTATTTTTCATGTCTTGCTTACCTTTTCTCCATCTTGCACTCATATCGCTTTTTGCATTGTTTGTTGATGTAACTCGCCCTACTGGACATCTGTGAAAAAGAGCTTCATAGCTCATCGGATTTCTCCTGCAGTCTAAAGAAAGATTCTGATTCTGATACTCAAACCCAAACGGACCAAGATACAGGAGCCTGCTATTCTAATGAAGCAAAAAAACACACACTCATAACCCTACCCACGTGCTCGCGAATGTTCGGGGCTCTGACCTCTGACCCGCGGGGCTCATCATCGTCACCACCACGATCCATGAGCAGATTTGCCCCGTAGCTGTCCACTGCACATTTCGTCATTTGTTTCCACTTTCCTCTGTCTTGTTGCCAATACGCTCCAAGTAGTGGCCACATCTTTCCGGCACAAATCTCCTTACGTCGTCGTCGTCGTCAAGCCATTCTCTATTAGGCCTTCCTCTTTTTCCGATTCCTTACATTTTTCCGAACAACAACAACAACAACAAACACTTTTACACATCTACTACCGTCGTGGTGTACTTTGTATTTTAGCCAACGACGTGAGCTCACGGTCGTTGTAGTGCACGATCTGGAAGTTCTTGACGGAGGCCTGGGTGACGCGGCCGTGAAAGTTGAGCACGTAGGACTGCGTGTCGTCGTTCCACACGGGCGCCTTGTTGTGCAGCTCCACCGTGTGCTCCGTGTTCTTGTTGTGCCAGCGCGACACCAGGGTCTCGTGCTCCTGGGCGCCACACGCCACACAACGCACAGACAGGGGACGTCACACACGGTGGTGTTCTAAATTTCGATGTAAAGCTTTCGTGACTGCAGGGATTCATCTTCTTGGTTCTTTCGGTAAATTCACGTAGAAGGGAAAAAAAATACCTTGTAAGCCCATGTAACGCCCTCTCTCTGATCCCACTTGATTATACACACGCGCGCATTGTTGTCTTTGTAAGAGCCATAAGACAGAAAGTGAATGTATTATTTCTGCGTACACATTTGATGTACGTCTGTCATTCATTTGTTGACAGACTGGGCATATTTGATTTTGAATATTCCAACCTTCGATTTAAAGCTTTCGTGACTGCAGGGATTCATATTTTTGGTTCTTTCGGTAAACTCACGTAGAAGGGAAACGTCGTGATAATTTTATAATGTTTTATTTTTATTATTTTATTATTTCCCTTCTACGTGACTTTACCGAAAGAACCAAGAAGACGGCGGTGTTCTTTCTTGATTTGAAGCTTTCGTGACCGCAGGAATCCATACTCTTAAAGTCACGTAGGTATAAAAGAAAATACATCGCGACGTTTCGATCGCAACACAAGCGGTCGTCCTCAGGCGGAAAAAATATAATCCAACAGCGGTGGAACTGCTGGTGTTCTTGCTGTGCCAGCTTGACACCAGGGGTCCTGGGTGGCACACTTCAAACAAAGAACCCCACCTCCCGCCCGCATAGCCTTCAACAGACCTGTTGGGGCAAGTGCTGTTAGCCAGCAGCACCTATGAAAGGCAGGCACGGGCACAGGAGGGGATGGGTGGCCAACACCTCGCCCGGCCGCCTTTGTCTCCCGAGTGGCAATGTTTACACACCGCAACCAGGATGCTCATTTGAGGCTGAGTCAACTTAGGCTGTAGGCCCGGGACCGATTCCGATAATCGTCACTGGTGATGGCCGTGAGCGGGAATCGAACCCGTGTCGTCGGGTTCATAGCGCAGCGCGCAGACCGCTACACCACCGCTGTTTGCGAGCACCTATGAAGGCCGGCACGGCGCACGAGGGGGTGGGTGGCCAGCACCACTCCCCGTGGTCACGTGGATTTTTCTCCGGGTCCCCCTGTTTTTTCCCTCCACGTTTAGAATCAACATCACGCGTTTAGAGTACGCGGGTGCTCTACATTTCCACGTGATAAGCCACTTCGTTGAGCTATCATTTGTGATAGCAAGGTCGCTCCTGATGCAAAAGAGCTACATAGCACAGTGGGGCCTTAGCTGGTGAAATAAAAATATTTAAAAAGTGTAGAAGTCTTCTTGGTTCTTTCGGTAAAGTCACGTAGAAGGGAAGTAATAAAATAATAATAAAAACAGACCTTTTTCTTCACCTGAGGACGGCTGCTTGCGTTGTGGCCGAAACGTCGTGATAATTATTTGATCATGTTTTATTTTTATTATTTTATTACTTCCCTTCTATGTGACTTTACCGAAAGAACCAAGAAGATGAATCCCTGCAGTCACGGAAGCTTTACATCGAAATGTAAGTGTAGAAGTATTGAAGTTTCTCACGTTTCTGGGCTTGATTGGAACGCGCTCGTGACTCCGGTTCATTCCAGGGATGATCACCGTCATTTTCCTCGGTCCCTTGAATCCCAGTACATTGGTCTCCTAAACACCGGGCACAAACACACACATCAAAGCATCATCATCAACAGCAGCAGCAGCATCACAACAACGACACCAAATGTTGTGTTGACTACAACGAACTTAAGGGGCCGTCCATAAATGACGTCACGCGATTTTGGACGATTTTTTACCCCCCCCCCTCGTCACACATCGTCACAAATGTCTGACCCCCCCCCCCCCCCCACTAGGTGCGTGACGTCATTAATGGACGGCCCCTAAGCAACCTCACAGACATTTCACGATCATCCGAACGACGGGGTACGGTGGGGGGGGGGTGATGGCTTTTTTTGCGCCCTTGAGCTCACAAAAATGTTGGAGGTGATTGGTGCCCTCTAGAGGCACCTGCTGCGAGTTTTTAAAATTTTTACAAACGGAGGGCACCAGAAAAAAAAATACGTACTACAATGACAATAGTTTCAAGTGATTTGAAGCATGTTTTTTTTTTTTGGGGGGGGGGGGGGCAGAGCTTTGTGACGTCTTATTAGAGGGGGGGGGAGTTTGACTTTTTGTGACGCCGTGTGACTAGGGGGGGGGGTCAAAAATAGTCCAAAATCGTGTGACGTCATTTATGGACAGCCCCTAAGAACGAAACGGGAGGATTTCTCCACAAATCTGTCTGCCCGATGATGCTCGTTATAATTACTGGCGAAACGTCGTTCTCAGATGGTGTGCTGTCCTCGTAACAAATTGACACGTTCTGTTTACGTGACAAACCTTACTAATTGGCTGTGTCGGGTGGTGGCGGGTTTAACAACACATTTATATATTTACGCGATCTAACCCACAAACCTCGATTATGGATAATATTGGTTGTGAAAGCCTACGCATTAAACCCACTGATTTATAGTTTAATAAAGTGTGGCTTATTTTTGCTATTTGTCCATGATAATTGTTTTTTAACCCTTCTATCTGGCAACAAAACTGACACCTTTTTTACAAGGAGTCATGTTTGCATAGACCACAATACCTGCAGTCATAATGCAAAAAAATAAACATAACTCTGATAATGTATGCACTGTCCTTGAAGTTGATTGGTCCACACCCGAGACAGCTTTCCTTAGAGCCTAGTCTCACATGGGTTGGACTAGATGACGCCAAAAGGCGCACAACTCAAAGACAATGCACCATCAAAGTATGAGAGCTCAGGGCAAGCATTTACACCATTGGAACCTCATTTGCCAGTAAAAAAATTGATAATTGGTTTTTTACCCTTCTATCTGGCAACAAAACTGACACCTTTTTTACAAGGAGTCGTGTTTGCATAGACCACAATACCTGCAGTCATAATGCAAACAAAAACATAACTCTGTCAGTTTTGTTGCCAGATAGAAGGGTAAAAAAACAATTATCATATGTTTTACTGGCAAATGAGGTTCCAATGGTATTTGTCCATGGTTTAGCACACACACGAAACTGAATGTGCTCCACATTCCATTTTGTTGTGGATGATGAAGGTCAGATCGTCTGAGTAAGTCCGACACAGCGGTATTCTATGAGCACTTTTGTAAAGAATAACAATGACGCACTAAAAAAGATCAAATCACTGGGAGAGTAGTAAAAAAAAATCCATGGCAATACCGTTACACGCGCATTATAATAATGAACGCGTTCGTTTTTGCAGGCAATGTCTCCGATTCACAATTGACTTTTGGATCAGTTTCACGTAACGATCTGCCCAAAGTTGTGTCGTTAAGAACCCTCCACCACCCAACACAGCCCAACAAATGACATTGCCACATGTAACAGGCGTTTTAACAACGCGCTCCCCCTCCAGTGAGTTGAAGAACAATCGTCACCACCACATTTTTTGCAATCGGATACTACGTAATAATACTGCTCCGCTAAAAAACCCAATTACTCTATGAGAGTGAACGGTTACTTAGACAATAATAGCATAACCCATCACGCAAACTCCGGTCATGCTCGCAGAGGCTTTTGGCCAACCATCGAACAAAGATGGCGGTCACCGCATCGCGTGCTTTCAGATGCGCTTATGCGCCGTCTGGAACGTTTTTCCTTCCGATATTAGGAAGCCACGCACTTTAAAATCATCCAGTTTGAAAACTAATTTCTATAGAGCTGCTTTTTCTGTTTAGTATCTTGTCCTTCCCCCGCACCTCTGCTGCCACGGTTTGGGCCATGCACAGGTGCGAAAAAAGTTCAACATACATACGTACAGGTGACATTGCAGATATGTAATGTAGTATAGAAACTTGAGCCATCAACATACATACGTACGTAAAGAAGGCTGTCTGTGGTGTAGGCCAATCAGTTTCAAAGACAATGCGTTTATCAGAGCATGTTTGTTTGCATGTTCACCACAGGTATCGTGTGTGGTTAATGCCGAGATGATTCCTTGCAAAAAGTGTTCGATTTGTTGTTTGAACATCTTAACACCACCTGTTTTATTGCCAGAAAGGGTAAAACATAAAAAAAAAGATTTTCACACTTTGATACCGGTAAAAAACGGTCCCATGACTTGCATAATAACGTCACACAGGAAAAAAACGACTCCAATCGGAAAAAATTAACCCGTAAAAACAAAGTTTTTCACTATAAATCCTTTATATGCGTGGCGGGTAGAGTCCTCTCGTCCTCTGGCTTGAGATGGCTGCCACCTATGGGTCAGATGATTGCCTGCCACCATTAAGCAATTGGTAATTAAATATAAAAACAAATTCCTAAAAAGTGTAAAGTTATGGAAAAAAAATTTTCACGAAAATAAATTGTCACGCACAACGAGCCTGTGTGCAAAATGTCAGCTCGATTGGATCACGGGGAGTGGGTTAAAAAACGACCGAAAGATTTGCACGGTCGTAAGCGCGCAAGTAAGCAAGCAAGTTAACTTAATATAAAGGATTTAAAAACGCCGATGCCCGCGTGACAAAAGACACCCACGCCCGCAAACTTTGGCACTTACGTAGCATACGGCAGCAAGCTCTTGCCGCAGGTTGGATCCATCGCCGAGGATGCCAGTGCGGTCTGGCTTGATCCCGTTGTCGTAGACTGTGAACCTGGTGCCCATGACGTTGGACCTGCGCGTGCACACAGCGAACAAAAATGGGGGAAGCCCGACCCACCCACCCCAGCCAGAGGCGTAGCTAGGTTATTTTGCGCCCGGGGACGAACTATAAAATTGGCACCCCCCCCCCCCCCCCCCCCCCCCCCGTTTAATCACATTTTCCTATTACATCGAATAAGGAATAACAATTTAAATTTTAATGAAACATTGTATTTAAAGAAGCAAATTTATAGAAATTATATTACATGGCTCACTCAGTCACTGTCGTAGACTGGTTGACATTCTACAAAAGATTATTTTTTCGTGATTTCACGGTCGCAAACTGGTCAATCACGTAATCAAAATCTGTTTTTTCCAATTCTAGATTTGAAGATTCATATTCTTAGGTTTTTTCGGTAAAGTCACGTAGGTAAAACATTAAAATTACTTTTATTAATTTTAATGTTTTACCTAGGTGACTTTACCAAAAAAACCTAAGAATATGTTTTTTCCAATGTTTATCTTTCAACGCTAAGAAGAACAAGATCGCTGAGACGATCTTGTCCCATTGAAGCACGCAAATACGACAAAATAAGTTTCAATTTGCTGAACGACCGCTCACAGATTGCAATTAAAACTGCTATTGTTCATCAAATTTGCAGTGAAATTCGCAAATTCGGAAATATGTCGTCTCCATAAAACACAATAAAACCAAGAAGATCCAAAGGAGTTTCTGGTAGAACTTCATTCCGGTTACTGAGCAGCATTTTGCAATCTCCAATTTCTGTGAAAAGTTCGTGGCCATTGATGTCGGTGTCATAGAAATTTCCAAAATCTGTGCAATTTCGACGAATTGCATCGACATCTGTGTCGGATAGAAGAGTTTTGACGTCCAGCAGAAATCAAAATTTTGTGTTCAGGTCTTTTAGTCGTAAAAACCGTGTTGACATCTCATGTTGAAGTCGATAAAATACGCTCTTCATAACGCGCACAATTTCTTCTTCTGCTGAAAGTCCTCCATCTCTTGCCAGTTCTCCCGGCATCTTCCGACGTCGCCTAATTCTTCTGTCCACATCTATCCCCCAGGCTGTGCATCTTGTTTTTGCGTTTTCTAGTGGCATCTACATCTCTAAAACGTAAAGAACCAGTAGCATCTACATCTCTAAAACGTGAAAAACCAGTGGGACATGGAAATCAAACTCAGCTCCTTTTCCTTGAAAAAGCAAACGCCTAAAAAAGTCTCTTGGATAAACTGACCCCCCCAGCCATACAAAATGTGGAATTGTCACCACAAAGTTGCTCATTTGAGTAAAGAAGGCACTGGAATGACTTTGATTAAATGTTTATGGAAGATATCTGCCAAGTGGGATTTAATGAAGGGGGTGGGGGGTTTAGTCGTGCAGAGGGTGAGAACCTCAACTTACCTGAGCTTGCCGATGTAACTCTCCCCTTCGCGGGACAGATTGGTAGGGTCCGTGGACAGCAGATAATTAGAAGTTTTACTTTTTTTCCGCTTCCGACCAGCCAGCAAAAACACCTATGATATAAACAAAAACACATACACACACAACCACACAGTTATGGAACAACGTACACACATACTACAAACAGGAGTACACTCCAAATATACAACAGGCGTCAGGGTCGGGATCGAAAGCCACGCACTCCTCCTTTCCTGTATACCAGGCGGAGGTAGTAGCAGTAGTATCATGGGACCTTTCTTGCCAGTATCAAAATATAAGCATTGGTTTTACCCTTTTTGGCAATAAAACTGTTGTGTTAAGATGTTAAAATACCGAACAGAAACCTTTTGCAAGGAATCCTGCCTGCGTTAACCACGCATACTTTTGGTGAACATGCAAACAAAAAACATGCTCTGGTAATATATGCATTGTCTTTGAAACTGGTTGGTCCACACCAAAGAAAGGTGTCTCTAGTGTGGACCAATCGACCAGAGCATGTTTTTGTTTGCATGTTCACCACAAGTACTCTGTGTGGTTAACGCAGGCATGATTCCTTGCAAAAAGTTATTGATTTGCTGTTGCTGTTTGAACATCTTAACACCTGTTTTATTGCCAGAAAGGGTAAAACCAATCCTTATATGTCATAGTCGTTAACATCTCCTAGCCACCGCGACGTCGCGTGCACGTTGTCCTGACGTTTTTTTTGCGGCGATTGCCTGCCTGCGCTGAGAGCTTCTTTCGCATCGCATGGAGCCAACCGTGAGAATTCACCAGAGGGTGCGGGAAATGAGCAATCGACCCGCTGTGGGGGGGGGGGGGGGGGGGTGGTGGCAGCGGCGGTGTTTCGGCGCTCGCCTTTTTGCCGTCGTCGCGATCCATGTGCAGGAAGTAGGTGGGGAACATCCCGCGGTCCATGCCCTTCTTGTCGCGCGTGATGCGGCACTTGACGGGTCCACCCTGGGGCGCCGGGCGCAGAGCGAACGCCTCGAGGTCCCCCACCGCCAGCGGGGGCGAGAACCCCCCGCCGGGGCTCCCGTCGCCGCCGCGGACCCCGCAGGACGCCCCGTCCTCCTGTCACACGCGAGGAGAGAGAGAGGCAGGCACGCGCTCTAACCCCAAAAAAATCACCTGTATCATGGATTCATTTACTTAATTTCGTTCACGGCAATTTGCGATCACCGTTTGTCGGCGCATTATCATCAGGGTGGGGGTCCCTTCAGCTAACGCGTCGACCGGGGCGGCGGCCGGGGCGGTGGCCACGTGTGGCCGCGTGCGGCCGCGCGGTTACCGCCAGCAACGCGCCTTGCCGTCGCGCGCGACCCCTCCGTGCGCGTGGGACGACGTCGGCGGGGCGAGGAGACTCTCGGCCGGATCGTCGGCACTGCCCTCCTCCTCGAAGCCCTCCTGGCCCTCCTCGAAACTCAGGCTCCCCGTCAGGCCTGCTCGCCGTGCACGTGCGAGCGTGCGTGGTCAAAGGGTCGACGGAACAACAACAACAAACAACAAACAAACAATCGCCTTTTGCCACTTAAGTGGCGGTGATGTCACCACGGCGGCTTGTGCCAGGCGGGTCAAAGATTCACCACCACCACCAGCCATGCCAGAGAATCGGGTGAACGCTGATGTGTGGCTGTCCTGAGTAAACAGTTTGAGCTTTTGGTGTAGATGTCAATCCAGAACAATTGTTATATTCTTATTTATTATTATAGCGAAACTATTGACACCCTTTGCGCCCATCCACTGCTCCACAAAAGCCTGCCAAGCCGTGTCGGTCATGATCAAGTTTAAACATTAACTGCCATATCTCTAAAATAATAGAATCGTTTTGAATCCCTCGACCTATGGACATGTGCCCATTTTTGTGTATGACCTACAGTCGAATCGGCCACACAAGAGTGGGTTGCTCAATGATAGGCACGGGAAAAAAAATTGACGCGTAAGGATCGGAGCCTCAATAAGGATTGGAGCCTCCAAATGAAATCACGACTCGAACCATGACAACTGATGAGATCGTTGTGTGACAGGTCAGTAGTGGAACCCAGGCCATCCCACGCAAAACATGGCAACGTTGGGCATGTGATGGGAAACATTGACCTCAAGTTGGCCCAACGTTCCATAATTACTGGGCTGGCGCAAGGAATCAAATTGGAGCCACCAGTCCAACTCCTCCATCTCCTAGCCCAGGGGGTCGGCAACCTGCGGCTCCGGAGCCGAACGAAAAATGTTTCTTCTTGTTATTTTGGTTGCCGACTCCTGACCATGGAAGTCCAGTTCACTGTGGAAGTCCAGTTCACCATGGAAGTCCAGTTTACCGTGGATGTCCAGTTTACCATGGGAGTCCAGTTCACCATGGAAGTCCAGTTTACCGCGGGAGTCCAGTTCACCATGGAAGTCCAGTTTACCATGGGAGTCCAGTTCACCATGGATGTCCAGTTTACCGTGGAAGTCCAGTTTACCGTGGAAGTCCAGTTCACCGTGGGAGTCCAGTTTACCGTGGGAGTCCAGTTCGCCGTGGAAGTCCAGTTTACCGTGGAAGTCCAGTTCACCGTGGAAGTCCAGTTCACCACGGGAGTCCAGTTTACCGTGGGAGTCCAGTTCACCGTGAGAGTCCAGTTCACAGTGAAAGTCCAGTTCACCATGCGAGTCCAGTTCACTGTGGAAGTCCAGTTCACCATGGAAGTCCAGTTTACCGCGGGAGTCCAGTTCACCATGGAAGTCCAGTTTACCATGGGAGTCCAGTTCACCATGGATGTCCAGTTTACCGTGGAAGTCCAGTTTACCGTGGAAGTCCAGTTCACCGTGGGAGTCCAGTTTACCGTGGGAGTCCAGTTCACCGTGGAAGTCCAGTTTACCGTGGAAGTCCAGTTCACCGTGGAAGTCCAGTTCACCACGGGAGTCCAGTTTACCGTGGGAGTCCAGTTCACCGTGAGAGTCCAGTTCACAGTGAAAGTCCAGTTCACCATGCGAGTCCAGTTCACTGTGGAAGTCCAGTTCACCATGGGAGTCCAGTTTACCGTGGAAGTCCAGTTTACCGTGGGAATCCAGTTCACCATGGATGTCCAGTTTACCGTGGAAGTCCAGTTTACCATGGGAGTCCAGTTTACTGTGGATGTCCAGTTTACCGTGGGAGTCCAGTTTACCATGGAAGTCCAGTTCACCATGAGAGTCCAGTTCACCGTAGAAGTCCAGTTTACTGCGGGAGTCCAGTTTACCGTGGGATTCCAGTTCACCATGGGAGTCCAGTTTACCGTGGCAACCTGCAGCTCAAGAGCCGCATGTGGCTCATTCAGGACTCTTTCACGACGGTATTTATTAAGGGCCGTATTCACCACCACAATGCATCGCGGCTCTTGAAATATTGTGTGTGGGGGGAGGGGTGGGGTTAACCGAATTCGAAAAAAAAATGACTCTTCCTGCTGTTTCGGTTGCCGACCCCTGCCCTAGCCTACTCGGTATTCCCGGTGCAGCTGCACCGCCTGCACACTTGCTAGCTACGCCGCTAAGGCATTTGATGTGCGGGGTGGGGGAGGTAGTGGGGGAGGTGGTGGGGGGGGGTGGGGTGGGTGCCCGGGTGACCGCAGCGAACTGCACCGCGATGCGCGAGGGCGTCCCGCAGCTCCGGGTTGTGATGCGGGGAGCGCACGTCGCTCTGCGAGCCGGGCTCCAGGACGGACCCCAGCGCCGGACACTCCCGCAGGGTCAGCACCTGCACACGGCTGGTCAGTGGCGCCGCCTCCTCCTCTCCACACGAGGGGATGCCTCCTGCTACCCTCCCCGCAGAGACAAAAGATCCCCCGTGTAGCCTTGACAGACTTTTGGGGCAAGCGCTGTGTTAGCGAGTAGCACCTATGATGAAGGGCGGCACGGGCACACGAGGGGGTGGGTGGCCAGCATCACGCCCGCATGCACACACACACAGAGACGAAGAGCCCCCATATAGCCATGACAGACTTTTGGGGCAAGTGCTGTGTTAGCAAGTAGCAGCTATGATGAAGGCCGGCACGGGCACACGAGGGTATGGGTGGCCAGCACCACGCCCAGCCACTTTTGTCTCCCTCTGTAGTGGCGATGTTAACACCACCGCACCAGATACTCATTGGAGGCTGGGTCGACCAAGGAGAGACCCATAAGTGGGTCGGATAATCGTCTCTGGTATTAGTCGTGAGCGGGAATCGAACTCGGGTTGTCGGGTTCGTAGCGCAGCGCGCTAACCACTGCGCCACCGCTACACACACGTGTGCATATCCTCTTAACGGCGCGAGCATTGCGATGTTTTTCATATGGGTCCACGTGTTCGCAGACGCTGTGGTGAGATTCGGCTATAAGCAGTGGTTCTTATGAACATTTTTTTTAAGGTAAATCATTGAAAACACAAATCAAGCACGGAGCACGTAAGTTGCAACTTACTTACTTTGTTTCACCAAACCCGATGTCTTTATCAACGTTATTCATTTTCTTTACGATTGATAACCAAAGGGGTGCAAGGCTGCAACAAAGGTTAAGATAGCACTCGGCGAGACGGACTCTGTCTCCGCCTTGCATTCAGAGCTTAGTCTTGACCCTCCATAAGGAAATCTGGTCTCATCTGGAGGAAATCTCATTCTCATCAGATTGTTCCCGTTGCAATCTGCCAATGTCTCAACTACTAAGAATGGGGCAGAGTACTGCTATTACGTGTAAGAGGGTTTCGACAGACCTGTTCTCCACCTGAGGACGGCTGCTTGCGTTGTGGCCGAAACGTCGTGAGAATTATTAAATTATGTTTAATTTAATTATTTTATTATTTCCATTCTACGTGACTTTACCGAAAGAACCAAGAAGATGAATCCCAGCAGTCACGAAAGCTTTAAATGGAAATTTGTTCATTCAGACTCTGTCTTTCCGACAGACCTGTTCTTCACCTGAGGACGGCTGCTTGCGTTGTGGCCGGAACGTCGTGAGAATTATTTTATTATGTTTTATTTTTATTATTTTTTTTATTTCCATTCTACGTGACTTTACCGAAAGAACCAAGAAGGTGAATCCCAGCAGTCACGAAAGAAGCTTTAAATCGAGGGTTTCCCTCGTTATTCGCGACGAGGGACGCGTTCCGGAGATGCTTGTGAAGAGCAAATTTCGCGGATAATCAAATTTTCCTCCCAAAACCTACCTTTTTCATGAATGACCTTAAATAATACGTAAAAAAGCTTTATCTCGCATCACTTTATCTCATTACTTTATCTCTCAGCATCTCTCATCACTTTATCTCTTAGCACTTACCTCATCACAGGTGGGGTTTTTTTTTTGTTGTTGACGAGATTCTGTGCAAGGGCGGCCGTACACACAAGACGTGGGTTGAAATTCTTTCGTTTGAAACTAAACTGCTAAAACTAAACTTAAAACAATGTCACCAGGTCATGCCCACTGAGCTGCTACAGAGCTCTCTTTCACGGAAGCAACCTTGCCACAAATGATAGCTCAACGAATTGGCTTATCATGTGGAAGTTCATAGCAGCCAAATAGGCTCTAAGCGATGGTAACACATACTCTTAGTTTTTTCGGTAAAGTCACGTAGGTAAAAAATGAAATTAAAATTAATAAAAATAAAATAATAAAAAATCACGACGTTTCGGAGGCAGGGATTCCAAGATGCAAGTTCTTAAATACAAGTTAACTTGTATTTAAGAACTCACATTTTGGAATCCCTGCCTCACTTGATACAGCAAATCTGGCTGTGACGGTCCCACCTGATGACGGAGACTTGTGTTGCCTCCGAAACGTCGTGATTTTTCATTATTTTATTTCTATTAATTTTAATTTCATTTTTTTACCTACATGGTGACTTTACCGAAAAAACTAAGAGTATGAATCCTTGCAGTCACGAAAGCTTCAAATCTAGATGGTAACACAGTTGGATATTTACGGTGCGAAAGAAGTTCAACATACATAAATGAGAGAGAGAGAGAGAGAGTTCGTGTGGAATGGCTATTTCTCCTCCTCCTACTCCGTTGAAGGAGAGCACGCTATACGGGTCCGTAGTCCTGGATGCATGGCCACAATCGCACTGCTGCGGCTTGCACATTTAGTGTACACGCCGCACAACAGAGGTCGCAACCGGATACCCGATACCCGTACCCTACCCGATACCCGGCTACCCTGGTGCGGCCGGGTACGGGTACGGGTAGGCCGTGAGTCACTGGTGAGCAACCGTTTGTCACTCATTTCGGGTAGGGTACGGGTACGGGTAGGGAATGGGTACCCGTACCCGGCCGGGTATGGGTACGGGTACTCATTTGCGACCCTGGTGCGGCCGGGTACGGGTAAGGAAACAAAACCCGTTTGCGACCTCTGCTGCACAACACGTTTGAAATCGACAGGAGTAAAGCTTCGACTTACGAACAAATCGACTTACGAACAGACCTCTAGGAACATAACTAGTTCGTAAGTACACACACAGACACACACCGCACGTATGTACGCACGCACGCGGCTTGCCACCGGTGCAGCCTGAAAGTGGCGACAAAGGGCAAATCCTACTCTTAGGTTTTTTCGGTAAAGTCACGTAGGTAAAAAATTAAATTAAAAGTTAATTAAAAGTAATAATGAGAATAAAATAAAATAAAAATCACGACGTTTCGGAGGCAACACAAGCTTCCGTCTTCAGGTGGTACCGTCACAGCCACGACAGCTGTATCAAGTAAATGAGAGATTGCAGGAGCTACCACTCCGTTTACCTACGTGACTTTACTGAAAAAAAACCTAAGAATATGAATCATTGCAGTCACGAAAGCTTCAAATCTAGAATTTATTATTTTATTCCCATTATTACTTTCATTAACTTTTAATTTTATTTTTCACCCACGTGACTTTACCGAAAAACCCAATAATATGAATTCTTGCAGTCATGAAAGCTTCAAATCTAGAATTTATAATTTTATTCCCATTATTACTTTCATTAACTTTCAATTAAATTTTTCACCCACGTGACTTTACCGAAAAAAACCTAAGGGGTATCAATCCTTGCAGTCACGAAAGCTTCAAATCTAAAGGGAAAATCGCCGCCGCGCACACTCGGGGCGTCGTACCGGCCGGCTGGCTCACGATGTCGACGAGCGGTGCCTGCTCCTCGGGGTGCTGCGGCCGACGGGCGCCCCTCGCGACGCCGCGACTCCCGCCGGGTGCCTTGGCGTCGGCCGTCGATTGCACCGTGACCATGTCGTGACGACGCCTGCGCTGGGCATGCTCGAGCAGAGCGCGCTGCGCACGAGACACGAGGGCAAGGCCAAGATCCCAACCAACCACCAACCACCCGTGTTGCGTTCGTCAGGCTGATGCGGGGCAAGTGCTGTTAGTGAGTAGCACCCACGAAGGCCAGTACAAAACAAAGACAATATCCCCCATGTAGCCTTCATCAGGCTGTTGAGAGGCAAGTGCTGTTAGTGAGTAGCACCCACGAAGGCCAGTACAAAACAAAGACAAATATCCCCCGTAGCCTTCATCAGGCTAGGCAAGGCATCCCCCGTGTTGCCTTCATCATGCTGTTGAGAGGCAAGTGCTGTTAGCGAGTAGCACCCACGAAGAGCAGTACAAAACAAAGACAAATATCACCCATGTAGCCTTCATCAGGCTGTTGAGAGGCAAGTGCTGTTAGCGAGTAGCACCCACGAAGAGCAGTACAAAACAAAGACAAATATCCCCCGTGTTGCCTTCATCAGGCTGTTGAGAGGCAAGTGCTGTTAGCGAGTAGCACCCACGAAGAGCAGTACAAAACAAAGACAAATATCACCCATGTAGCCTTCATCAGGCTGTTGAGAGGCAAGTGCTGTTAGCGAGTAGCACCCACGAAGAGCAGTACAAAACAAAGACAAATATCACCCATGTAGCCTTCATCAGGCTGTTGAGAGGCAAGTGCTGTTAGCGAGTAGCACCCACGAAGGCCAGTACAAAACAAAGACAAATATCCCCCATGTAGCCTTCATCAGGCTGTTGAGAGGCAAGTGCTGTTAGTGAGTAGCACCCACGAAGGCCAGTACAAAACAAAGACAATATCCCCCATGTAGCCTTCATCAGGCTGTTGAGAGGCAAGTGCTGTTAGCGAGTAGCACCCACGAAGGCCAGTACACACACACACTTGAATTTAAATGTGAGTTCGATCCAGACTCCGACGCCTGCTGCATATATTTGGAGTTTGCGTGTCTTTCTCTCTCTCTGTGATCGCGTGGATTTTTCTCCGGGTTCCCCTCCACATCTAGAATCGACATCACGCGTTTAGAGTGTTTGGCTGCTCTATCTTCCACGTGACGATGATAAGCCACCACTTCGTTGGGGAAAAGGATGCCGGGATGGAAGTCTCCAAGAGCGAACGAAGAGGGTACGGCTCAAGATGAGCAGCAGGGAGAAGAAAAAAGGAACGCTGCACAGAAGGGGGGAAATTACTTTTAAAATATATTTTACCAGGTAAGGCCCACTGAGCTATATAGTAGCTCTTTTTCAGAAGCGACCTGACCACAAATGATAGCTCAACGAAGTGACTCATCACGTGGAAATTTATGTCAGCCAAATACTCTAAACGCTAAATTTCGATTTAAAGCTTTCGTGACTGCAGGGATTCATCTCCTTGGTACTTTCGGTAAAGTCACGTAGAAGGGAAGTAATAAAATAATAAAAATAAAACATAATGAAATAATTCTCACGACGTTTCGGCCACAACGCAAGCAGCCGTCCTCAGGTGAAGACCAGGTCTGTCGGGGAGACAGCGTCTGAATGATACTCTAAACGCGTGTTTCCAAATGTGGAGAGGGAAACCGGAGAGACACGCAAACTCGAACCCACGACATCCTGGATACCAGGCGAGGTAGTTAACATCTCACAACCATGGCGAGAAAGATGTCATGGACGATGAGAGGGAGCAGCGTCTGTTTTCGCAGGGGGAGGTTTTCAGAGTGGGCGTAGCCACACAAATCACGTGATTTTCGGGAGGTCAGAGATGATTTTATACTCTTTGGTTTAACACGAAGGCTTTCGCGACCAATATCCATAATAAAGGTTTTTTTTAAGTTACACACGTACACACACACGCGCACGTACACAATATAAACGTAATTATAGAGATTATGTTATCATACAGGGTGCTTCAAACACTTACATGGGACTATCGTTTTTAATGGAAAAGAACGGATAATACACTGTAACATGAAAACAAATGTGATGTTAATCGTTTCAAAAAGTCAAAGAGTCTCAACTTGTTCGCCATCATTGTCAACGCGTGGCCTGGAATCTTCTCCAGGTGGTCTCCAGAGCCCGGAGGGCACATTTATCGTGGCGTTGTTGCAAATTCTCAGAAGTGTTCACATTTTTTCTAAGCACCCTGTATTTATACAGTAAGGATTTGATATGTTGTGTACCCTGTACGCCTGTGCAGTGTGATGAGCTCGTAAATAAAGCGAATTGGATGTGGACAATTTAGACTTTAAACTGTCGTCACTGCAGGAATCCGTGTTCTTGGTTCTTTCGGTAAAGTCACGTGGATAGAAAAATAAAATGAAAATAAAAAATTATAAAATAACATTAAAACAATAAATTTCAAATAATTAAGCAAAAAAACCCACGACGTTTCGATCGCAACACAAGCAGGTCTTCATCAGGCGGCGAGAAAAGAGGTGGCTTTACCGAAAGAACCAAGAATACGAATTGGACGTGGCCAGATGCCAAAGTGATTCCCGACGGATTTTAAACAGTGGAATTCTCAACGACCGCTTGAAGATGGAGCGATGGTAACAGCTCTGTTCCAAGGTGTTCGATATTATGGATCGTAGCATTGCGGGATCCCGTGTGATAGTTGATGGCTTTGGGAGGTGTGTGCATCCAGCAGCGGATCGATCACGGGCGATGACGTTCACGCTGCTGCTGATGATGTAAACCTCACCTTCTTGTCGAGACGCTGAGATTGTACACTGGTGGTACTGTCGTCGTCTATGACGCTGCACACACACACACGTACACACACACACAAGCACACGTACACACACACACACACACGTACACGCGCGCACACGCACGCACAATCACACGCGTACACACACGCACACACACGTAAACACACACACACACACAAGCACACGTACACACACACACACGTACACACAAGCACACACGTACACGTACACACACACGTGCACACACGCACACACACGTAAACACACGTACACGCACACACACACGCGCACACACACGTACACACACACGCGTGCACACACGCACACAGGCGCACGCATGTCAAATTGAGTAAATTACGAATGAAAGTAACGTTTGTTGAAATTAATGACGTTTAAATTGGCACTTGTACACGAATCACGACTTTAAATACAAGCAAGTCTTGCAATCAGTGAAAATAATTAAACGTGCAGAAACCCATGAATAGTATTAACTCTGTGTAAAGACCTGGTAATAAATATAACTAAACGGCTGATTAACGGCATATATTTTCAACATCACAGATTCTCTAATATGACTACTCAACGCTTTCATCTCCGTCCACATCGCTCCATTTTTAAATCCTTTATATTAAGTTCGCTTGCTTGCGTGCTTGATTGCTTGCTTACGACCGTGCAAACCTTTCGGTCGTTTTTTAACCCACTTCCCGTGATCCAATCGAGCTGGCATTTTGCACACAGACTCGTTGTGCGAGACAAATAATGTTCGTGAAAATGTTTTCCAAAATTTTACACTGTTTAGGGAAAACAAATTAAATGTTTAATTACCAATTGCTTAATGGTGGCAGACAATCATCTGACCCATAGGTGGCAGCCATCTCGAGCCAGAGGACGAGAGGACTCAAACCGCCACGCATATAAAGGATTTATAGTGAAAAACTTTGTTTTTACGGGTTATACTTATTATCTCTCTCTCTCTCTCCGTCTTCCTCTAAACTCGACTATAGCCTCACTCCTCCGTCTCTTGCCAAACTCTCCCCCACCCCAGCACGCCACACGACAAATCGTTAGCCATGTATGTTACCGTATGTTGAACTTCTTTCGCACCGTTACGGAGCCAGCCATGCTAATCGTAGGTGCTGTATATCCCGTAGTCGTACGTGCAAAATGCCCCCGACTGGACATGTGTGGCTGGGTGGGGGGACAAAAGCTGTATAGCTCATCTGATTCCTCCGGTATAAATAAATATTCTGATGACTCTGCTTCATCAATCGCCAGGGAGCCACAGACACAAAGGTTTGGACGGCAGCAGGGCAGGCGGTCGGCCGGCGCCAGCACCAGCGATTGCCCAACATCTGCAGTCCTCTACATATGAAGATGGTTTGTACACACGTGGGAGGAAGCCACACCGAAGCGTGCGAGGGGACAACACTCGATCCCATAAAAAACACATTATATTAGTCCGCAATTTACTGTCCTACATTCTCCTGGCAAGCCAGCTACATTGATGAGACACACATCCATCTGCTCTTTGGAAAGAAGGACATCTGTGAGAGATGAACAAACAATGAGCTTCGCAGCTCATCGGATTTACTCCCGCCACCACCCCCCCCGCCCCCCCAAAGTCTAAACAAACATTTTGATCCCATTGGAACCTCATTTACCGGTAAAAAATATGATAATTGGTTTTTTACCCTTCTACCTGGCAACAAAACTGACACCTTTTTTACAAGAAGTCATGTTGGCATAGACCACAATACCTGCAGCCATAATGCAAACAAAAAACATAACTCTGATAATATATGCACTGTCCTTGAAGTTGATTGGTCCACACCCGAGACAGCTTTCCTTAGTCTCACATGGGTTGGATCAGATGACGCCAAAAGGCGCACAACTCATATTTTTTTACTGGCAAATGAGGTTCTAATGGTGTAAATGCTTACCCGAGCTCTCATACTCTGATGGTGCATTGTCTTTGAGTTGTGCGCCTTTTGGCATTATCTGGTCCAACACCATGTGAGACTAGGCTCTAAAAAAAGCTGTCTCGGGTGTGGACCAATCAACTTCAAGGACAGTGCATACATTATCAGAGTTATGTTTTTTGTTTGCATTATGGCTGCAGGTATTGTGGTCTATTCAAACATGACTCCTTGTAAACAAAGGTGTCAGTTTTGTTGCCAGATAGAAGGGTTAAAAAAAACAATTATCAAACATTTTGATCTTGATTTGAAGCTTTCGTGACTGCAGGGATCCCATACTCTTTTGTTCTTTCGGTAAAGTCACGTGGGTAGAAAATAAAATACATTTCGATTCCGTTGCAAATGGCTGCGCTCCCGTGCCCTGTTGCGGTCGGGCTGGGAGTTGGCTTCTGGGCAGGCGACACGGGCAGATTGATTTCGACAGCACGCACGAACGCAGTAAGCTGCTGAAAATGACAGACCTCGACGTTGTTATTGATGGTGAAGGGGGAACTACTTCATACAGCAGTCGAGGCCATCACGCGTGGGCTGTGTGTGCCCCCCCCCCCGCCCGCCTCTCTCAAGCAAAAGGAGGGCCCCAGTGGATGCGTTTTGCCGTTTCTGTTTACCAACCTCCCGGCTACACCCACCAACCTCTCTCTCGGCGCCCCCCCACCCCCACCACCCCTTTCGCCAGCCTTACCCGAGCCCCCCGTTTCGAGGACGCGCGATTTCACCGCTGCTGCCCCCGCTGCTGTTGCTGCTACATTTTGACACCTTCGGATGTTTTGTGACGAATTCCGTAAAAAATAAAAACCTCAATATTTCAAGAGCCCCCAATGCACTGTGTGGTGAATGCGAGACTGTGGTGGGTCCTGAATAAGTAACGGTCACGGCCACACCGCACGCGGTTCCGGAGCCGCAGGCTGCCGACCCCCGGTCCCCCGGTCTATCCACTACTGGATGAGGGCTGCTTCCCCACACTGTGCAAGGTTTGTTGGGGCTGATTGGCCGTATTGGACTACGCTAGGTCATTGCGGGTTGGTGACTGTGGCGAGCACAGGCGCAAGGTGCGTGGAAGTAGAGTACAACTACAGGAACACCTCTACTTCGAATATTCCACTTACGAACTTTCAGAGATACGAACAAACCCGTCCGTATGTCGAGTTGCCTGTTCGGACCGAGAGTCGTCTCGCAATACATGGTGGTGGTGGCATCTACATATGCAGAACGTGAAGAACCAGTGACATCTACATCTGCAGAACATGAAGAACCAGTGGCATCTACATCTGCAGAACGTGAAGAACCAGTGGCATCTATATCTGCAGAACGTGAAGAACCAGTGGCATCTACAGAACGTGAAGAAGCAGTGGCATCTGCAGAACTTGAAGAACCAGTGGCATCTACATCTGCAGAACGTGAAGAACCAGTGGCATCTACATTTGCAGAACATGAAGAACCAGTGGCATCTACATTTACAGGAGTTTATACAACTTCTGAAGCCACTCCTCGTGTTTAATGTACATGGCGTACAGCATGTTTGGAATCGACAGTAGGAAAATTGGACTTACGAACAAATCGAATTACGAACAGACCTCTGGAACCTAACTCGTTCGTAAGTAGAGGAGGCCCTGTATTAATATGGCACCTCATCGACTACGCCCACGGGATGAGAGTTTCGCAACATTCACGCGGTGACCCACCATACAGCCACCACCGCTTCTTCGTCGTGAAAATGCCCCACCATTTCAGACACCGTGTGTCTGAAATATAAAAATTAAAACGCGTGTGAAGGGTACCCGTGGGATGAGTGTGTGGGAGTGTGGAGCCATTACGCGGGGTGGGAGAGCGTGGGTTGCCAACCCTATTCATCGTTGCGCGTTTGTGAAATTGGTTTAAAACGTGAGGCATCGATCGACGGCGCGGTTTCGTGCCTCCCGCGTCCCCTCGCTTTCGATGCCTTTCATGCAGGCAAGCGAAGCTGCCAAACCCCGCCGGGTGGTCAGGACAGAGGAGCACAGCGGATGGGTTTGTGAGTTAATTTGGCGTGGACTTTGTCGTGTTTTTTTATTTTTACGATCAGTGGAAACAAGAAGATGCTCGGTGTATTCGGCACTTTGCTTCGTTCATTATTTCGTAAAAAATTTTTTTTACATTTTTTAACTTAGCTTTATGTAAAACCCTCACCTCTCGCTCACTCTCTCGCTCACTCTCTCGATCACTCTCTCGCTCACTCTCTCGCTCTCTCTCGTTCTGCACGCAGCCCTTCTCGTCGTGTTGTCCCCCTCGTGTGGCCTTGTCTCTGGTGACCCAGGATTCGTGAAGGCCGGCAGCCGTGACGGAGCAGCGTAACAGCAATCGAAGTTTGCTGCACTGCCACCTACCTTTTCGATTTAAAGCTTTCGTGACTGCAGGGATTCATATTCTTGGTTCTTTCGGTAAAGTCACGTAGAAGGGAAATAATAAAATAGTAAAAATAACACATAATAAAATTAAATTCTCACGACGTGTCTTTCCGACAGCTCCGTCCTTCACCTGAGGACGGCTGCTTGCGTTGTGGCCGAAACGTCGTGAGAATTTTATTGTTTAATTTTTTTTTCCCTTCTACGTGACTTTACCGAAAGAACCAAGAATACGCCACTTACCTGCTCACCACATACAAGCCCCTGTGGCAACCCCTCCGCACGCGTTGACCTACCCATCCGAGCACCTGGTATCGTTGTTTGATGTTGTTGCTGTTGTTGTAACTCGCCGACCCCCCCCCCCCCCATACTGGACATATGTGGAAAAAGAGCTTCATAGCTCATCGGATTCTGCCTCCTGCAGTCGTCACACAGGCTCAACGCCTGCTTAGCTTTTGATATCTGATGGAGATCGTTAGCATCCCCGGTTATTTTTTAATCCTTTATATTAAGTTCGCTTACTTGCTTAGGACCGTGCAAATCTTTCGGTCGTTTTTTAACCCACTTCCCGTGATCCAATCGAGCTGACATTTTGCACACAGACTCGTTGTGCGTGGCAATGTATTTTTGTGAAAAAAATTCCAAAATTTTACACTGTTTAGGGAAAAAATTTCAATATTTAATTACC